AACAACTATGAACGGCGTAGATAGGCGTGACTCTGTCCGTTATTATATACAGTCTATGGTCATGACCCACCATGTTATTACTACTAACTTAAACAAAAGCAAAACATGGTGACATTAAGGCAAACCTGGATGTATGAAATTTACGTTTTACTGAAGTTAAACGTTTGTAATTGTATTTCATATGAAGTAGATTTGCTATTCTTAGGTACAGGACTGCTCCACATCACACACACACACGTACGTACACAGAGACAGGCGGGTACAGCCGCGGATCACAAAGCAACCTGTCAAAGCTTCTTCTTCTTTAATTTTCCGGCAGACTTGCCGCCTCTTCGCGCATTGCTCGTCATATCGTGATAATATCGTTATCGTGATAATATTGTTATCGTGATAATATCGTTATTGTGATAATATCGTTATCGTGATAATATCGTTATCGTGAGCTTTGTATCGTGCATCGTATCGTATCGTGAGGTACCCTTAGGTTCCCACCCCTATGGGACAGTGTGTATTAATGAACAGAAGCTTCACATAAAAAATTGACAAGTTACCAGTGTTCTTCACAGTGTACTGTAGGTTCCTAGTTTTGTAAAGATTCTTGTAAGATATAATAAGAGATCGTTATGTGTGATGGGCAAAGTCACATGGGAGAAGCTTGGTGTGGAAACGCTGCTCCCCTACATTAAGAGGCATCAGCTGAGTTTGTTTCAGATACCCCCTGCTCAGTGTTTACAGCATGTCCGACCATTACTGTAAAAGACCTTTATGGAAGACCAAGGGCATGCTGACGATGTCTTTCTGTTATACTGGGACAATCCATTGAGCAGCAGTCAGGAGCATGTGGAAAATAAATATTTGAGATCTCTGCTCAGACTTCTCCTCCAGCAACCTGTCAGATGATAGGAAAAATGTTTATGAAAGTAATCATCAATTTAAACTTTATACTTTATGCCAATGAGCATATCTTTCATTATCTATAGTCATTATGAGAATGATAGTTCATCTCCATGGAAGCTACTACACCCATCAAAACGGTGTCTTTGTTTACATTTTGTCCATCCATTCATCCATTTTCTTCCCCTTTATCCATTTCTGGGTCGGGGGGTGGCAGTCAGAGCTGCGCCCAGTCCTCATAGCCCCTCACTGTGCTGGCCTCACTTCACTGGCTCCCTGTTACATTCAGGGTTGATTTTAAGATTCTGATGCTTGTTTTTAAATGTTTGAATGGTTTGGCCCCTGTATATCTGTCGGAGCTGTTATCTCTGTATGCTCCTGCCAGATCAGTGATGTCTGAAAACCAGCTTTTGTTAAACGTGCCCCGGTCTCGTCTCAAAACTCGAGGAGACCAAGCCTTTTCTGTTGCTGCACCCAAACTGTGGAATAGTCTACCTCTGTTTATTAGAGCAACTCCTTCATGGGAAGTTTTTAAGTCTAGTTTAAAGACACATTTTTACGCTCTGGCTTTTAACACCAATTGAGCTTTACCACTTTACTTTTACATGTTTGTGTATGTATTTTATGCTGTTTTATTTTATTTTTTATCATTCGTGCCTGTGAAGCACTTTGGGCAGCTGGTGTTGTTTTAATTTTGCTATTTAAATAAAGTTGACATTGACATTGACACTGATCCTCCTGCAGGTGGTGAGTACACAGGAGCTGAGATCTTTCAGTGGGGGCTTCAGGCAAAGTGGGGTAAAATGTCTTGCCCAGGACACAACGACAGCAATCATCAGTGGGAGTCATGAAGTAGGTCTTACGGTGGGTTCGAACTCATGACCTTCAGGCCCAAAGGCTGATGCTCTACCAACTGAGCTGCTGTCACCCCCTGTTTACATTTAGTAAATTGTTGCAATATGAATATATAATAAATATATGTACAGTATAAATATATGTATTACCTGTATATATACAATATATAATAAAATATTTTTACCAAAATGTTGCCTGTAGTAGCTAGCTATCACCGGCCGGATAGCACTCTTGCTTCTCAGCAAGAAGGTCCTGGGTCGGAACATGCTCTTTCTGAGTGGAGTTTGCATGTTCTCCCCGTGTCTGCGTGGGGTTACTTCTGGGTGCTCTGGTTTCCCCTACCAAAAAACATGTACAATAGGTCTGACATGCACCTCCTGTACTGACAACCCCGCTCCCATCTCTGTGTGGAGTGAGAGGACAAATGCCTAAACCGCTTTGTGGTCTGTGAAAGGCGGTATATAAATAAAGATTACTTACTACTACTACTACTTACTATCATTCAATTGGAGCTACTACACCCATCAAAACTGGGAAAAGTGTCTTTGTTGATTTTTTGTGAATTTTTTCAATTTCATATTTGCTTGTGTGAAGGGGAAAAACATATTTTTCCCAAAATGTTGACAGTAGTAGCTAGCTATTGTTCAATTGGAGCTACTACACCCATCACATCTGGGAAAAGTGTCTTTGTTGACTTTTAGGTTTTTTTGTATTTTTATTTTTTGGCCACTTGCAATTTGCAGACGGTCCCTTGCGAATATCAAACATTCGGCTAACTTCACCTCGGTCCAATACAATTGTTTTGACAGAGAAAGTCCATAACAAAAGCCTCGTCTTTGGGTTTTCAGAATTAAGATTGTTAACATCAGTGGAGCTCTCACAGTGGGCCTCATGTATGAAAGTTGCGTAGAAAAGGGTGTATATTTTGGGTGTATATTCCATTTATGCAAGATCCGACGTGGCATTTATGAACGTGTGAGATACGCACAGATCTGAGCGTACGCAACTGCGGCTGTTGATAAATGCCGCACTTGAAACCAGCATATTTATGAAAGTCACGCCTAGAAATATTCAAAAACTGCCTGTTCCACGCTCTGTTTTTGCCACAGATCAGCAGGAAGTCGGCGAGAAGACTGTTTGGTAGCCTAAAAAAAGCACACACTTCAGGGATTATTCACGTTTAAAAAAAACATCAGACCACTGCAAATCTACCAAGATCCGGCCGTCCCTCCAAACTTTCATCTCAAACAAGGAGAAGACTGATCAGAGATGCAGCCAAGAGGCCAATGATCACTCTGGATGAACTGCAGATAACTACAGCTGAGGTGGGAGAGTCTGTCCATAGGACAACAATCAGTCGTGCACTGCACAAATCTGGCCTTTATGGAAGAGTGGCAAGAAGAAAGCCATTTCTCAAAGATATCCATAAAAAGTCTTGTTTAAAGTTTGCCACAAGCCACCTGGGAGACGCACCAAACATGTGGAAGAAGGTGCTCTGGTCAGATGAAACCAAAATCGAACTTTTTGGCAACAATGCAAAACGATATGTTTGGCGTAAAAGCAACACAGCTCATCACCCTGAACACACCATCCCCACTGTCAAACATGGTGGTGGCAGCATCATGCTTTGGGCCTGCTTTTCTTCAGCAGGGACAGGGAAGACGGCTAAAATTGATGGGAAGATGGATGGAGCCAAATACAGGACCATTCTGGAAGAAAACGTGTTGGAGTCTGCAAAAGACCTGAGACTGGGACAGAGATTTATCTTCCAACAGGACAATGATCCAAAACATAAAGCCAAATCTACAATGGAATGGTTCACAAATAGACGTATCCAGGTGTTAGAATGGCCAAGTCAAAGTCCAGACCTGAATCCAATCGAGAATCTGTGGAAAGAGCTGAAGACTGCTGTTCACAAACGCTCTCCATCCAACCTCACTGAGCTCGAGCTGTTTTGTAAGGAAGAATGGGAAAGAATTCCAGTCTGTCGATGTGCAAAACTGATAGAGACTGATAGAGACATACCCCAAGCGACTTGCAGCTGTAATTGCAGCAAAAGATGGCGCTACAAAGTATTAGCGCAAGGGGGCCGAATAATATTGCACGCCCCACTTTTAAGTTTTTTATTTGTTAAAAAAGTTTAAATTATCCAATAAATTTCGTTCCACTTCACGATTGTGTCCCACTTGTTGTTTCTTGACAAAAAAATTAATTTTTATATCTTTATGTTTGAAGCCTGAAATGTGGCGAAATGTTGAAAGGTTTAAGGGGGCCAAATACATTCGCAAGGCACTGTAACTGGTTCAATGTATTTAGCTGTACAACATTGAAAGAGTTGTGTGTGGGTTGTAAAATAGAACTTCCCTCAGAGCTGCCTTGAACTCCAATGGTTCCATGGTGTGGTGTATAGCCAAGCATCAGTAGGATCACTGATGAAGTTGGTTTTCGTGATTGTGGTGTTAGAAATCGCCCTCAATGTATCCGTCCACACAAAGCTGAAGACAAATCCAATTCACTTGAGAGAATTCCTTAATTAAGTATTTTTAATATACGTGGTTTGCCTTCAGATTTGACTAAAATGAGGTGAAACATTTCACATGGACTTATTCTTCAAACACAGATTTGAATAACAATAGTGGATATATTATATATTTTCTTCATGACACGTGTGGATGATCCTGCAGTGATCATATTTCAGGTCAGTACAGCACAGAATGTAAACACAGAAAGCATATACAGCAGTTTCAAACTGGGACCATGTTTCAGAAAAGGTCGGAATCACTCAAACTCAGCGGCTCTGTGTTGTCAAGAGCTGAAATATACAAAATACTTGGTAATACGACTGTATTGGTCTCCGTCGGGACAGGGCCAGAAGCCTCTTGTCTCTGTGCGAAAAAAAATCCTAGATTTTCCGTCAACATCTTTGTATGAAAACGTGTGAAGAAGACACTAATGGATGTTTACTCCTTGCGGCAACTTTATTAATCACGCCTCGATGTGTGCACAGGAAACCGAAAGCCTGATCGTTCCCTGCTACAAACAACACCTCTGGGCGGCCCTAAACAACCTTATGCCAGGAGTCTTAACCTACCCACGACTCGAGCACCTGCACCTTTCTCATGCCGGACTTCGCCCCGTCAGCATTTGTGTGAATTTACTGTCGCCGTGAGAACAGCCATGATGTTTCCAAGGCCGTGGTCTGCGTGAAGTATATAAAGAGAAGAGCAGCTGCTGTGACACTGTGAGCCAAAATGTCTGACTTAAGGAGTGTGTGTGTGCTGCTGCTGATGCTGGGCTGCTGGGCTGAGGACGTGCAGGTCAGTCAGAAGGAAACAATACAACCACCGCAACAACTTTTTTATACTTGTACATCAGTTGGCACAGTGGCTGAGTGGTTTGCACTTCTCAGAAAGAAGGTCTTGGGTTCAATTCCACCTCAGTGCCTTTCTGGGTGAAGTTTGCATGTTCTCCTTGCGCTAGGTTACCCTCCCACTTAAAATATGTACAATTGCTGCCCTCTCTCTGGGGCAGGGGCTCTGAGATCTCAGTGGGACTTTTCTAGTTAAATAAAAGTCAATAATATATATTGGAAAATGTGATTGTTATAAGTAACTTCATGCATCAGTTATAATGTGTATCTGGCCTGAATGTGTTCACTTTCTCGTAAAGTCTATTCTTAGATTGTTATTATCTTTAAACGCCTTGATGGATCAAGCTTGAATTGAATTGTTTTTCGAAAAAAAAAAAATTCAAGCCATTTCTCACTCTGAAAGAAAGGCAAAATGCACTTTATTTTTGCTTTTTTTGAGCTGTACATTTTACTAAAGTAAAGTGTTCATGGTTCACACTGATACAGACCAGAACAGAGAGGATGCTACCTCATTGAAGCCCAAAAGGGAAGTGCTCATGGACAAACTTTTCCTCCAACTCGCTTTGGGTTCTATTGACTCTCCTAACTCAGTAACCGTATGTGTCACACTCACCATTTTGGGCTTCAAACATCTGTGGTTTAGCGTTCTTTGTAAATCCAGAAATGAGCCATTTAAGGATTTACCAACCTAAGAAATTGCCTTGATTTGCAGGAAAAATACATCTTGCATTAGTTTGACCAAACGTCTGCCACTGTTACGACGTGAAGCTAACACAGTCAAAGAAATGCTCAAATCAGAAAATTGGCTCGAGCCCAAGCCTCTTCTGCAAGAAGGCTTGGGTGACGTTAGGAATCAGTTAGTCCATGCAGAATATATGATCCATGTGATCATGAATACATGTTCTATTTTAGATGTTATTATTATAAGATTTATTCAATAAGGATTTGTGAAAAGTTATGGATGAGTGTGAGTGATGTGCTGACATATGGCCTTTTCTCCACTTGGGGCCAGGAGCCGTCTGTGTCTGAGCTGCTGTGGAAGGCCAACAAAGACAAGGGTGAGACTTTCACTCCCAGAATGTGAAGACTTACTTTTTTTTACCAATTAACAATAATAATAAATGTTGTTTGTCCCAATGTTATTTTTTACATCTTATTAGTAAACATGTAACTGTATCTGTTTCATACTTGGAAGAAAACTGTGACGCTCTGGGCTCAAAGCCGATTGACTGAGCGAGGGTGATCCTCTCTTTTTCACTGTTCTAAAGATGTGACAGAGGCTAAAATACAAGCGTCTACAAACCAGTGATAGAACCTAGCTGTTTTAGAGCCAGAAACAATTAGATTGACTTTATTCCATGGTTTTACTTATTTTGTATGGTTTGAAAGTTGAGTAACCCAGACGCTGGCCTATATTGTAACCCTAACAGAGATGATTATATCGTCCTCAGTATGTGTATGAATTGTTGATTGCATATATGCTAGTAATCCTTTAAAATAATGAGAATAATTTCCGACTCATTGGCTTGCTGTGGGTTTGTTGATTGTAATTTTCTTTTATGAAGAGTTGGTCTGATAGCAGTACCTCGCTCAGTAATCTGTGTTTTTTGTTTTGTTACGTTATTATTACTGAACAACAAATTTTAGCCCTTTCACCATTAAATCAGTGTAGCCAGAGGATTGATGGTCACATAAATATGGTCCTGTGTGTGCTCTCGTTACAGTGCGCTCAGACAGAGAGCCGCTTGTGATCGATGACATCGCCTATGACTCAGAGGGGCAGAGGAATGCTGACCCCTGCACCTCTGGAGGGAGATGCATGTGGCCCAAGTCCGCCGACGGGAAAGTCTACGTGTCCTACACCATCGCTGGACACTACTGTGAGCCCTTTGCACCGCATCCTCACCTGCATTATGCCTGACTAATACGGATTGATTTTAAAGTCCTTCTGTTTGTCTATAAATTCCTGAATGGCCTTGCTCCGCGCTATCTGTCTGACCTACTGACGTCATACACTCCATCACGTTCTCTTAGGTCGACAGATCAGGCTCTGCTCTGGGTTCCGACTAAACGGAAACTCAGAGGAGATCGAGCTTTTTCAGTTGTTGGTCCTAAATTATGGAATGAGCTGCCCCTGTGTGCGAGACTGTCTGAGTCACTTCCTGTTTTTAAGTCTTGTCTTAAGACACATTTTTTCTCACTGGCTTTTAATTTATTTTCAATTGATTTTTTTTGCTGTAAATAGTGTTTTGTCTTTTTGCCACTGCTTTGTATTTGTATATTTGTGTATGTGTTGCGAGCTCGGAAGCACTTAGCTAGAATCTCACTATATTTTCAATGAGAACTATACAAATAAATAATACCAGCAACGCCACCTTAGATTTTGGCCTAAGGAACCATTAAGAAGTTTATCCCCGCATCACTAGACCCCAGGTTCGTTTGGATATGGAGAGAGAGACAGAGGCAAATCTAACAAAATATAAATTTAAATAGCTGACAAGTTTAATTGATTATTCTAATTAAAACACTCTACAATCACAGCACACACACACTCCCATTCATCCTCAGTCATACTGCATGCATTCCAGAACAATACAATAAACAGCCAGATAAACCAAAAAAGAGAAAAGAAACAATTAACTTTTAAAAGCGTCCCAACTACAGCAGCCGTTGCGTTCAGCCACACTAGGGCCGGAATTTGGTTACCTTGTGGGTAGAGGAATAAAAAGAAGCACTGGTTTGATTGTCCTTAGTTGAGGTGCGTGGAGGATTGGAGGCGCTGGATGGGATACGCGTCCTGCAGTCCCGCGGCCACCACAGATTTATATACTCCCACTCATAAGATGCCTTTAGATTTAAAAGGCCAGACTACAGTGCAAAAGACCCCACTTGGAAGGTGAGGTCGGAGACAACAGGAATCCGTTGCAGATTGAAGCGCTCCGCGCACGAGCCGCCCCAGCCCGTGACAGCTCACACTGGGACAAGCCTTTACGCACGGCAGTCACGTCCACGCCAAAGGGCCCGGTGAAGGAGAGCAGGCACAGCAGCGGTGTGCGCGCTAAGACGCCGGTATGCAAAAGCGCATACGACGATCGCGTGGTTCAATTGCGCGGCCTCTCGCCTTGTGCAATTGAACCGTGGTAGTTTGGTAGCGAGACGCTGATCAAAACACCTGCTCTGTCCCGGGCCAAGTCACTCGACGTCAGAGGCGGAAGAGGTCGGGCTGAGGTAGGACGCGCCTCTTTAAAGAGCCGGACCAAACTCTGATTGGCTAACCAGCGGGAGTGCGCACCACTACATATGTGTTTTTATGTACAGCCAGGGGGGTAGCACCAAATTCTGGGCCCCGGGTACAAACAGTCTCAATGGGCCCTCACTACACGTTTCTTATATATATATATATATAAAATAATTTAATTATGCCTCACTGTCAAACCCTCACTACTAGTGCCTTCATCTGGCCATGATGCTTCTCTTCCTGAAACTGAAATAAAGTAGCTTTAATGGGTTGCAAACAGATACTATATTCCATCATTACAGTGTATAGCTATTACGTATATGCCTGCATGCCTTTATGTGATATGTGTATATGGCTATTCATATAAAATATGTAGTATATCTTATCTTATTTGTATGGACCATGAGTAGGTAAGTTACTTATTTGTTATTGTACAAACATACAACAAAATACTTTTTATGGTTCATTATTATCCACCAATTTAGACTTTGTGGCAAAATTCAATCGATGCAATCTTTTTTGAAATGAGCCTATTCCATTTTCAACTAAACACCTGTGCCTAGCCTTACTCCGCCCACATGAACATTTGAAATTTCATTCTGGCTTAAAAGCCTAAGTTTACACACCAGAAAGTCTCATTTCACCCTTGTTTACACACTAAGATAATTGTAGAGCTAGAAACCTTTAGACCATTAGACTTATTTACATTATTTTGACCACTAGATGTCACCAGAAAACTCCAAATCGGTGCGGGGGCGTGTGATTTGTATGGTTATAACCAGATGATCCAATGCAGAGGCCAGTGAGTGACCCGTGACTTATGACTGCAAGACTCACGGACGGACAGATTATGACAATAGTGGGAATATAGGGTACAGGGTTGTACATGAAAATAACTCTTTGCTGCCTGCCTTTGAAGGAGAAGTGGACAGCAGTGTGTGTGAGCTCCCTTTACAGCTACGCGTCTGTGTGTGTCACTCTGGATAAGGTTTTTTTTTTACCACGTACACGGCACACTGTTAGCTCTCCGTGAGTTTAGAATACAGAAACAAATGTCTCTGGGTTTTCTCCTGATGTGGCCTTAACACGTCTCTATATACTCACCTCTCGTGTGGAAGAACTGAGTGTAACCGAGAAGGTCTAGGTAGTGTTGTAAAAATGTATTTAGCTCTGAGAGCACACACAAGAGACGCTTTTCCAACTGCAGCCGTACCGGCTCTGGCTTTATTTCTCACATTCAAATCATAACAGCATAACCAAGGGTGGCCACTTAACTGCCTGATGTAAAATCCTAAACAGTATGTTACATATGTCCCCCCCTTCATAAGAAACGTCCTCGGTTCATAAAATAACTCAGAACCTGCCTCAAACCAGGGCCATAATAAACAAAAGCAAAAAAATAAAAAATAAAAAAAAACACACAACAAAGAACAATGACTCTGCCCAACTCAAACTACAAAGTCCTTGAGGTGTGAAGGGGCTTTAACAAGACGTCCCGACCGAGACTGCTGCGGCTTGGCCAGCGCTGGCTCCAAACTTGCCTCCCCTCCATGCAAGAAAGGGTCCAATGCGACAACCCGACTAGCAGGGGACCGAGCAGGGAGCGGCAGAGTGTATGGTTTGAGTCTGTCATGATGAACCACCTGACTCCGCTCCTGAGTATTCAGCGGATTAATGATGTCATAGGTCAGTGCCGGTTCACCCCCTGACGAGAATACCTGCACCACCTGGTACGGGCCCCTCCAATGCGGCGCTAATTTAGTGCGGCTCTCCGTCGGATTGTTCAGCCACACCAACGCTCCAACACCGTACGGCCGATGACACACTGTCTGGTCATGGTAAAGTTTTTGTCTCTCAGAGGCCTCCAATGCATGAAGCCTGGCCGCACCAAATGCAAACTCCAACCTTTTAACTAACATATCTCCATAGTCAGACACAGATCCCGCCCCCACAGAGTTGAACACAGGGTTAGATACAAGAACATCTGCTGGGACCCGGGCCTCGCGGCCATGCATCATATAAAAGGGAGAAAACTTAGTGCTAGCATGGGGTGAAGTGTTATACGCAAAAGCAACCTGCTTTGTAAATCCATCCCATTCACCCCCTTGAGACAGTAACATCTTAGCAAGTTGGTCAATCAATGTCCTGTTATGGCGCTCCACCATGCCATCCGACTTTGGGTTGTACGCAGTCGTGTGAGTCTTCTTAATACACAGTAGTTTACACAGAGTCTGGATAACCTCAGCCTCAAACTGGCGACCCTGGTCAGTGTGAAGCATCTCAGGAACCCCATGTACTAACACATAGTCATTAAACAAACAGGTAGCAACAGTGTTAGCTGTCTGATTAGGCAAAGCATACAGATCAACATACTTTGTAAAGTAGTCCTCTACAACTAAAACATACCTATTTCCCCGAGAGTTTACAGGTAGCTCTAAAATGTCAGCCGCCACACGCTGCAGAGGACGACACACCTGCATAACCCCCATGGGCGCCCTAGGCTTAGGAATAGGCGACCTGCGAGTCTGACAAGCCCTACACTGCTCACACCACTGTCTTATGTCTCTAAGCATAAAAGGCCAGTAGCAAGACTGCCTCGCCTTCTCCCAGACCCGATCCACAGAGAAGTGCGCAGCAGCCGGCCCCCCGTGAAGATGCTGGAGTAGATCAGGGACCAGAGAGGACGGGATGACAACCTGCAACCGCTCCAGGCCGGAGACTGTGGGGCTATCTGTCCTACACAGCAGTCCCTCATTGATAGAGAGGCGACCAAATTCAGCCCACAATTTCCGGAGACAGAGAGAAGACCCCTTAACTTCCCAACGAGGTGGCCTATCTACTCCCCTCTCTAACCACCCGAGCACTACCCTGATGTCTGGGTCATCCTGCTGCAGGGACCGCAACCTGGCCTCATCACAGCAGAGAGAGTACACTGGAGAGGAGGGTAACGACTCCCTAGCCTGGTCATGACTATTCGCCCCCCCAACATCAATCACATTCACACAGTCAATGGCAGGAGCTGTGGCCTCAGCAGGGCGGCGGGACAACGCATCCGCATTCAAATGCCTTGATCCGTCCTTGTGGATGATGGCCCAATTAAAGGGATCCAACTCCAGGATCCACCGCCCCCGTTTACCAGTAGGGTCATTGTCAATGGACATGCCACGAAGGCCTAGTAGAGGACGATGGTCAGTAACAATAGTGAATGCTGACAGCCCCACATAATGTTTAAACTTGCGCACAGCCCAGACAACCGCCCACAGTTCACGGTCAAAGGTGGACCAGCGTTTCTGGGTGTGAGTGAGGGCTTGACTGGCGTAGGCCACTACATGTTCCAAACCGTCATTCTCCTGCGCCAGTACCGCCCCAACAGCGTCCTTTGACGCATCGGTGTAAACTTTAAAGGGGCGAGAAAAGTCTGGTGACACCACTACAGGGGAGGAGGTCAGACGATGTTTCAAAAAGGTGAATGCTGCCTCACACTCTGACGTCCATTTAAAAGGGACATTTTTACTGGCCAGATGATTGAGTGGAGCCGCATGCTGGGAAAAGTTCTGCACAAAACGTCTATAATAGGAGCACAGGCCCACAAAAGCACGGACCTCAGCAGCAGAGGTTGGTGTCGGCCATGACCTCACTTTATCAGTGTTCCGAGGGTCCGGGCGGAGACCATCTCTAGACACCACATGTCCCAAAAACACTACATGGTCCTTTGCAAAATGACATTTGCTGCTGTTCAATCTCAGTCCGGCCGAATCTATCCTTGTCAGCACCTCCCCCAAATGGCCAAGATGGTCCTCAAATGTTCGACTGAAAATCAAAATGTCGTCCAGATATACGAGGCAGGTGTGCCAGGGGAGACCACGCAGGACTAGCTCCATCATACGCTGGAAGGTGGCAGGCGAATTGGACAGGCCCATTGGCATGGCCCGCCACTGGTATATTCCCCTACCGGTCATGAAGGCGGTCTTCTCACGATCCTCCTCGGCAACTTCCACCTGCCAGTATCCGTTCGAAAAGTCCAATGTGCTGAACCACATTGACCCGGCCTGCGTGATCCCACCGCTGCCACCAATGTAACCGAGAAGGTCTAGGTAGTGTTGTAAAAATGTATTTAGCTCTGAGAGCACACACGAGAGACGCTTTTCCAACTGCAGCCGTACCGGCTCTGGCTTTATTTCTCACATTCAAATCATAACAGCATAACCAAGGGTGGCCACTTAACTGCCTGATGTAAAATCCTAAACAGTATGTTACATGAGTAAGCAATTGCTTGCCCTCATTACACTTTTTTTCCCTATCCTGTCTTTCTTTTCTTTTCTGAAATCCTGATTTTCCTTTCTTTTATTTTTCCCGCTTCTGCCGCTGCTTGTCAAACAAGTCAACTCGCTGCAGCGGCAGCAACACAGCAACAAGCGCACATGTGGGTCGTACCATTTGATCTTTTGTAAGGGGGTGGCAGGGCCCTGATATAGCATACAAATTTGTTTTTAGAGGAAAACTGAGGTTAAAACGTTGGTTATTTTTATACAGGGCCCCTTTCATTCAAATTGTAATAATATGAATATACCACAATGCCTAATACATATAAATATAAAGACACACTTTAGAGGGCCCCTCCCCGCCTTGGGCCCTGGGTACTCGGTACCCTTTACCCCCCCAGTCCGACGCCCATGTGTACAGCACTTTGGTCAACCGTGTTGTTTTTATTAGTGCTTTATAAATAAACTGGATTGGATTGGATTGAAAAAAAGAACAAATACTAAAAAATGACAATGTTTTTCGCAATGTGTTCCAACATCTCTTCTTTCATCCCTCTTTTCATACGAGATCCTCTTCTATGTGCTTCCAAGTCATGTCATGCCATGTACATTATGTAGAATAATTGTTCTTTGACCTGTACAAAAAGCATTAACCAAAAAAATATCACTAATACATTACTAACAATACGTTTTCCAATAAAAAAAATTCAGCTTTTTTTTATACACATACTTAGTGGCACAGTATTTGACACAGGATTTTCACAGTTTTCTTTTAAATTATGAAACAGTTACCCAAGCTGAAAGACGGTGGTTTGTGATTGTGTGTGCAGCCTCGCGGGAGCGCTCCATCATTGAGAGAGGGCTGAACTCTTTCACTGAGTCCACTTGTGTACGCTTCACCAGAAGAACGAGCCAACGGGACTACATCAACATTCAGTCTGACAGCGGGTAACAAGGCTGAACCAGGACTGAGACAGGACTGAGACCGGACGGAATCAAAGCAGGATTGAAGCAAGACTGAACCAGGGCTGAGCTAGGACTGAGCCATGGACTAAAGCGGGACTTAGCCAGGGCTGAACCAGGGATTAAAGTGGTATTGAAGCAGGACTCAACCAGGGCTGAGGTAAAGACTAAAGCAGGACTGAACCTGAGTTAGGACTGAGCCAGAGCTTGAGCTCTTTTCTCAGGACAAGTTCCAGTCTTTCAGGTCTGTGGTCGGTACAGCCTCTGCAGTGATGTGGCCGCTTTATTGGACTGATGAAGATATAGAGCAGCGTCTGCAGCCAAAGCTCTGCGTTTACCACTCAGTCTTTGTTCCCACCTTCCAAAATGATAAGGGCTTGGAGTAGAGCCCCTGCTCCTCCACACTGAGACGCGCTGAGGTCGTCAGAGGAGATTGGGATGCTTCAGTGAAGGCCTGAGTCTCTCCAGGAGGCTGTATGACAAAACTCTGGGCGTCTCTGCACAGACTGTTGGAAATGGATTAAGAGAAAGAACATAGATGGATGAACAAGGATTAAACCAGGACCATACCAGGACTAAAACAAGGACTAAACTATGACTAAATTCTGTTCTCTCTCCACAGATGTTACTCATATGTGGGGCGCCGTGGTTACAGTCAGACCGTGTCTCTGGATAAGCAGGGCTGTCTGTACCACAGTACAGTGCAACACGAGCTGCTGCACGCTCTGGGTTTTAACCACGAGCAGTGCAGGTCTGACCGCGACCAGTACATCAAGGTCCTGTGGCACAATATACAGAATGGTACTGTTACTGCTACTGCTAATGCTCGAAGTACTGGCTCAGGACTAATACAGTGTACTCGTGTGTTGTCAGGTTGGGAGTATGCATTTGATAAGATCAACACCTTGAACCAGAACACGCCCTATGACTACAACTCTGTTATGCAGTACCACAAGTGAGTTCACACACACATGCATAGAACCATACAAGAAAAAAAACACACATACACACACACACAGTATGATTTTGAATTGGAAAAAGATTTACAGAGATAAATTAGCTCCAAATTAAGAAAATAACCTGACGTTTCACAGTTAGTTACTATGAAAGATGTCTCAGTTGCCCCCACCACTTTGTTAAAATATAGGCTCTTTGGAATGAGCTGCTGTGATTTATTATTTTATTGACCTTTTATTTAACCAAGAATTCAAAGGAATGCTGGCCTAAGAAGGAGGGGAGTTATTGTGTTCTAGTCAACACTGATATGGAAAGAACACGCAAACTCCTCTCAGAAAGACCCTGACTGAAAGTGGAACTGAACCTTCCTGCTGAGAAGCAAGAGTGTTAAGCATTCTGGTCAACATTGTGCATGTGTTGTTTCAGATACGCATTTAGTGGGAACAACCAGCCCACCATGCAGCCCTACCCCAACGCCAACGTAGAGTTTGGGAAATCCACACAGATGAGCCGGAACGACATCCTCCGTGTCAACCGCCTCTACAAGTGCTAGAGCCTGAGCGAGGACCAGACCAGAGTGAGACTGCTTCCCCATTCCTCCCACAACCTAAGAAAAGAGTCACATTTTGTACAAAAGTTTTTGACCAAGTTACAACATTATTTCTCAACTAAAGCATATCTGGGGCTCATTATAAAACAGATTTTTTGATTTAAATGCACATACAAATAAAACTGTTTGATTCTCTGATCTGTGTTAGCGATTTCAACAGTTTTGTTAAGTCCTCTGAGATACATGTAACTACTGTTGTGATTTAGGGCTATACAAGAATACATTGCATTGAAATGAATTGAAGTCTTGGTACAGATGTTCTTGAATATCTCCAGCAGAAATCTTTTTGACCAAATCAGTAGTTTTCAAGTCAAGTCTTTTCATAAATTGCAAGTTTAATGCGGTGTATGCGAGACCTTTATATACAGTACAGACCAACAGTTTGGACACACTTTCTCATTCAATGAGTGTCCTTTCTTTTCATGACTATTGACTGTAGATTCACACCAGGCTGTGAAAGGACTATTTGACCAATAAGGAGAGTGATGGTGCTGGGCCAGATGACCTGGCCTCCACAGTCAGCAGACCTGAACCCAATCCAGATGGTTATGGGGCTGGACCACAGAGTGAAGGCGAAAGGGCCAACAAGTGCTAAGCATCTCTGGGAACTCCTTCAAGACTGCTGGAAGACCATTTCAGGTCAATAACTCTTGAAGCTCATCAAGAGAATGCCAAGAGTGTGCGAAACAGTAATCAGAGCAAAAAAGGTGCTACTTTGAAGAACCGAGAATAAAAGACATATTTTCAGTTGTTTCCAACTTTTTTTTAGTACGTACATAATTCCACATGGGTTAATTCATAGTTAATTCATAGCCTGCAGTGTGAATTATACTATTTTCATAGTTAATTTTTTAAAATAAAAAACTCTTTGAATGAGAAGGTGTGTCCAAACTTTTGGTCTGTACTTTATATACGCATATTTAATAAATGAGGCCCCCTGGAGATAGTGTCAAGAAATGCAATGATGCCTCAACCAAATTACTAGACTTAGAAGTTAAAGTTTTGATTCTAGTGATAGAATATAACTATTAAAGTGATTCCCTGTAACGTACAGTATAAAAGAACACATTTTAGTATGTACTTACAAGTATGCATTTTTGGTCTACATCTTTGCTGTAACCATTGTCTATTAAAAGACCTAAATGTTATGTTGTAGAAATGTCAAAAACTGACAGAATATATAACATGTAGAGCAGAAACCAAATGGTTATCTGAACAATTAATTCCCTAGAGGCACAGCTAACCACTTCAAACCTTTTTTTTTTATTATCACTAGTCATTTATAAAATGGGTTTGAAAGTGAGGAGTAAAAGTGCCAGAAAAACAGTCAAGACACCAGAAAAATTACACAAAACATACATATTATGGCATATTCTTGTTTTAAAATTGTGCAGACGAGCCGATTGTCCTGATATAGTGTCTTGTTTCAAAATGTATTTCCCTGTGGGGACAATAAAGTTGAACCTTGGGAGTACACTAAAAACACTTAGCACAAATGTTTATTTTTCAACAATCTCTGATGCAGCAGAGCGCTCACATTCATTAGGCCAGAACCTTGTCTACTCACTCAGAATGGCTGAAAGTGGACTCAGGGCAGTTGTGGCTGCACAATGTTTTGCTCAAATTTAGATATAGATGTATTGTTTATTTTGTTGGGACAAATGTATTTTTATACATTTGTTTATGGTTTAAGGGTCAAAGTTTTTAAGTAAAGTATGTATATATATATATAATATATATATATAAAAAAATTTAAAAACGTATATATAATGCAACCATCTCAAGTGAGGTGAAATGTGCAGTCATTGGTATACTATTGCTATGTCTAACCCTTTTTTTTTTTTTTTTGCAGAACAGAAAACCACCAGCACCAAAAGAGTTTGAAGTTTTCTTGTAAGACATGAATAAACTATTTCAATCCATGTTTGTGATGTTTTAATAACTATGAGTCAAAATCTAGAATACAGTAATCATCTTATTTATATTGTAGCAAGTTTCACAGCACAACAGATCCATTTATTCCTATTAACTTAAAAAGGGAACTAGAGTAAAAAAAATAAAAGCAAATTGACAAAGTCTTCAACCCTTTAATTCAACCAGTAGCACATATTTACTACACACACACAAATACAACTGTAAACACACATTGAGGTTCACCAATAAATAGCATTTCACATCATTCATAAATTATGTTTCTGGTATGTACATTTGTTCCCTTTGCACAGAATTTACAGAACAAAATAGAATTTTCACTGCCTGGAATGCAAAGATACCATGCAACAGACACTACTACAACTACAACTACTACTACTATGAGCTATTGTGAGGTTTCGACAGAGTCTGAGGAAGCTACCATGGAAAAAAGGAAGGGATTCTGCAAACAATTCTCAAAGGAATATTTTACTTATATATATATACTTATGAGGTGACATGATCTTATGTGAACAAGCACAACATTAGTTTCGGCAACACATATTGTAAGCTTCAAGCTGGAAACGGTGTACATACGAAGCTTCATGTTGGTACAGTTTAGGTAAAAGGCGTGACACACAACAGAAAAGAATACTTAAGACTCAAGACAGTAATGTGCAGATAGAAGAGATAATTACCAATATGTTTCCAGTGACGCCAATTTTATCTTAACCATATTCAAAGCAAAGCAAATGTAGTCCATCCAATTTGAAAACCTAGCTACACAATATGAAGTATGATTTGGCCATAAACCTGGGGTACCGGATTTTCAAACGTACAAAATCAAAACTAAACTACTGAAGCTCCAAGCTCTCAAAACAGTTTGTCGTGCCACAACTTTCCACATATAAATAGTTGAATTGAATGGAGTTTGTTACCCCAGCTTTATGGCCAAGTTTCACTCATACTAGAATCGATTGTATAGTTCTTGGTAGGTTATGGTCCTCTCCCAGGCCTGCCACTCATTGCAAATCACCCCTCGGCGTCTCACTCAGTCTGGGGCACAGAGATGGCGGGGCCTTTGGGGTCGTCGAAGCGGTCCATGGTGCGCAGCTGCAGGATCATGTGCAGGCCGTACGTGAGCACCAGCACCATGAGCAGGCTGGTCATCAGGCCCATCCAGATCCCAGGGGAGAAGAAGCCTGCGCAGTCGCTGGCGTACGAGAACTGGCCCCGGGAAACGTTAAAGCCCTGGATCTGAAACAGGAAGCGTACGGGTCAGAGGCAACCACAGCAGTGTGACTATAGGCCTTGCATTTTTGGACTGTGCTAGAGCCTGAGTTGGAATAAAAGGATCTATTGGTGTAATCCTCATATACAAATGTCTAGTCCTCTTTTAGACCTGTTTCAGCCAGAAACTAGACTAAAAAAACCATTTAAGATCAGGTGCTACTTGAAAGATTGCCTTGTTTATGTACGAGAATAAGATGATCATATACAGAAATTCTATCTACAAATGTTTAAAGGGGACATAACCAGATTCAGTTCTTTTATAATATGATATTCTATTACCCGTATGGCTCTTTATTAAAGATATGGTTCATATGAAATATTCAGATTGAACAAACATGTTATAAAAAGAAACAAGCCGCATAGCTATTCATAAGCCTCAAACTCTTTTGCAATTTACCCCCGCCCCTTTGACAAAGTGTCCAAGGTACATGTGTACATCTCCTTACATTTTTTCTTTGAGCTATAATGACCGTTCAAGAAAGGTGGATCATAAAAAGATATCATGGATTCAGAAAAAAAAATTGCCAGAAAAACTGAGTAAAACCCGGTGGAGGGGCTAGGCGGTGTGGTCAGGGGACTGAGGGGAGAGCAACGGCAGAATGTGTAAGTGAAGATAAATAAAATGTGAATTAATCTCACTAAAAACAGCTTTGGGTAATGACCGAAAGGACGAGATTGCGTATACAAGCAGTGAATTCAAGTGTATTGCTGACATATCTCTTATACCTGCAGTGTTGTGGCAGTATGGTTACCTGGAGATCCTGGAAGTTGACCCTCCACTGGTTGGCTGGGTCCTTGCTGGAGCGTGGCACCAGCTGAGGCCAGCGGTAGTTGGTGACTGACTCGCAGCGGTAGGAGTATTCTGCCGGGGCGTAGATGCTCCGGCTGCCGTTAAAGGTGGCTTTGGTGCCGTCATACTCCAGCTCCACAGCGTCCAGAGTGAACCAGCGCCGGGCCGACACCTTGTAGTGACGTTGGCTCATGGCAAAGCTGAACACAACCCCAGCACGAAAGATTTAGTTTTTATGTTCAACATGTGAACATAAAAACAACGCAAATATTCATCCAGGCTTCATTGTTGCCATAATCCACAACAAGCAATATTTTAGTAGAAAAGTAATCTCTACTTTCAGTGTATTTTAGCTGGATTGTGAAAAAAACACTCTGACCCTTTCTTTGTTTTTCTCATTATTCAGTCTAATGCAGAAGAATGTTCATTTCAAAAGAACTGCTTCAATGTCTACACATTTTCATGGAGGACAAGAGTCACACATGAGTAAATAACACTTACATTAACTTGAAGCTGCGATGGTCCAGGACATTTTCATAGTTGAGGACCAACCTGGAAAAAAAATAATACAGATTATCATTTCAAACTGACACATTAGAAGTAAGTCATCTTTATTAATATAGCACCTTTCACAGACCAGAGCCACAAAGTGCTTTAGAATTTTTTTTGGGCATTTGTCCTCTACCACCACATAGAGATGGAAAATAGGGTCGCCATACAGGAGGTGCATGCCAAACCCATTGTACATATTTTTAGTGGTAGGGGAAACTGGAGCACCTGGAAGGAAACCTACACAGAAACGGGGAGAACATGCAAACTCCACACAGAAAGGCCAGGAGGTGGAATCAAACCCAGGATGCTGTGAGGCACAAGCGCTAACCACTGAGCCACCGTGAGCCGAAAATGTGCCCCGTGCACGTTTTCAAGTCACTATTTGAGGTACGCCACCACCGGTGAGGAGTCAGATTGCAGGCATGTCAGCACACAGGACCCGCCCCGAATGGCTTTGACAACAATATATTAAACAAGGAAACTATACAAACCTCGAGGCAACAGAAATTCCTAGAATATTTTCATACTAAAATTACTCAAGTAACTCAAGAATCGTTTCAGCTCTAGTCTCATGTTTGTCATAGATGATGTCGCAAATTTGTCATAGACGATGAGTCATGTTGTGAGAACCTGGAGCGCGTGCGGTCGCAGCTGGAGCCATGCAGTTTGGGTTTCACTTCTTCGCCAAACGTAGACGGTGTGAGATCGTGCTCCTCCCAGCGACCGCTGCGCAGGATACTGACTGATAAACCTTTGGCCCACAGCAGAATGCATGCGTTCTCCCCTTCCTAAGAAGAGACAGGGACACATGATACATGCACATTATATATATACAGTACAGACCAAAAGTTTGGACACACTTTCTCATTCAATGAGTTTCCTTTCTTTTCATGACTATTGACTGTAGATTCACACCAGGCTGTGAAAGGACTATTCGACCAATAAGGACCAATAAAGTGATGGGTACTGGGTCAGATGACCTGGCCTCCACAGTCACCGGACCTGAACCCAATCCAGATGGTTTTGGGGTGAGCTGGACCACAGAGTGAAGGCGAAAGGGCCAGCAAGTGCTAAGCATCTCATGGAACCTCCTTCCTGCTGGAAGACCATTTCAGGTCAATAACTCTTGAAGCTCATCAAGAGAATGCCAAGAGTGTGCGAAACAGTAATCAGAGTGTGCGAAACAGTAATCAGAATCAAAAGGTGCTACTTTGAAGAACCTAGAATATAATACATATTTTCAGTTGTTCTTTTTTTTTTGTACGTACATAATTCCACATGGGTTAATTCATAGTTTTGATGCCTTCAGTGTGAATCTACAATTTTCATAGTCAAGAAAATAAAAAACGCTTTGAATGAGAATGTGTGTCCAAACTTTTGGTCTGTACTGTACACATGTGCAACATGAGGACTTATACACATGTAAGTTGTGTTATCTGTACACATGTCACAAATGAGGACTTCAACGTCACAAGATTTGTGATCATTTAACATGTCCAGAACAAGATATATTTCGTATGGAGAAAATAAATGCAGAGAAATTACAGCGTACCTTAAACTCGACGGGTGCGTAGACTTTGGTGCCTTCCTTGAGTTTGCGCTGCCTCTCTCGCTCCCTCTCTCTGGATTTGTCTCTGTACTGGAGCAGAGAGCGTCCTGCAGCCGCTTCCACCTCCCACGAGTGAACTGGTGCCCCCTACATACAAATGCACATGTACACACAAACACAAACATTACAAACTATCAGAAATTATAGACCACCCCCACCCTCGACTGGGGTCAGTGGGAATTATAGCACTGACTATTTTGATTTAGTTTTAGTTAGTAACCGTTTTTTCAAGGAGGTCCATTATGTGAGAGATTTAACTCCACCACATAATGAAACAGCACTAATATGTTTCAAAAACAAATCATAAAATGTGTATTACATTAATCGAGCCATTGTGTTTTGTGTCCATGAATGTTTATAAAATGTTCTCTTGAAATCCTCGAGATTTCTATGGTGGAACACTGTTGTTAATGTAGAATGACCTCCAATTTAACCTATCGTCTTTCCAGCATAAAGAACAATGCCATCCAGGAACTGGTTATTGTAAGGAACCTGACAGTATACACCAGCAGTGAGTTACGTGTATATAAGGAGCCTAATTATGTTATGTTCTGCAATGAATAGGATAGAGTTCCTTTCCTTACGTGTCAGTGTCACATATCCACTGCGAGCAGAATGTTCTGGTGTAGATTGAACACTTTCCATACGAGTCTCCTGCCTATGTTACACCTACATTGGTGTACGCATGGTGTAAAATGTGGGTTAGTACTTTACCTTAGAGGGTCGCAGTGCTGTGTAGATGGCTGTGTATGGGACAGCCTGAGTCTTCATGATGCTCATCACTTGGCCAATGACATCATCTGAAACACACAGGCACAAGGTTTAGTCTCACACACACACAGAATGAAATTATCATCTTATCTGAAGATTTACTGACCATTTTCACTGAGGATTTCTTTTGCGGACATCAAGTCAGCCCTGAAAAAAATACAATCAGAGTTAACCAAAGTTAATAAGACTTAGAGATATTGGTTGGAAGTTGGCATTGGGCCAAGACCAGCGTTTTGAACAGGCTCTAAAGTAGTTTGTGACTCATGGAAAATGGCCATGCAGTTTAGTTGTTTCTGCCATGTTTGACCTTACACTAGACTGCAAACATAGCAACATACTTCTTTATAGCTGTGATTGGACAGCCAACCACTCTGACTTGTCGGACCGGGGATGCTGGATTCCCCCAGATGAGCGGGAGAAAGTGGAGAGGGAAGTCTGGGTGTCTCCACTCAGACTGCTGCCTCCAAGATACAATAATTAAGTGGATGGCTCTGCAGGGTTCATCCATGGAGTTTTTGCCTAGTGTAAATGTGATGAAGAGCAGTGAGAAGGGGCACCCGTTTCCGTAGGGCAGTCTGAAGACCAGCAGGGCGGCGGAGGAGGCGTTCAGGCGCAGTTGGCTCAGAGTCTCTGGGTCCATGTAAAGAGGAGAGGTCTCCAAGTGATCCTGAATCTGAGAGATCACAGCGTTTGAAGACGGCCAGGAGACAGAGGGCAGGACCAGGGCAGAGGAGGCTGAGCCCAGAGCACTCTGTGGACCACAAGCAACAGACCAGCACATGGCTTTGATTAAGAAAGGAGAATCATCAAAACCAAACAACAATTAAAAACAAATATTAAGCCTTTCCGGTACATTTATTGATCTTAAAAATCTTTAAAGTTTTTTATGTTTCAAAACGTGAAATCATATCTTAAAAAGTTGAGAACACATGAACAACATTCAAATGCAATGCATACAAATACAGTGCCTTGCGAAAGTATTCGGCCCCCTTGAACCTTTCAACATTTCGCCACATTTCAGGCTTCAAACATAAAGATATAAAATTTTAATCAACAACAAGTGGGACACAATCGTGAAGAGGAACAAAATTTATTGGATAATTTAAACTTTTTTAACAAATAAAAAACTGAAAAGTGGGGCCTGCAATATTATTCGGCCCCTTTACTTTCAGTGCAGCAAACTCACTCCAGAAGTTCAGTGAGGATCTTTGAATGATCCAATGTTGTCCTAAATGACTGATGATGATAAATAGAATGCACCTGTGTGTAATCAAGTCTCCGTATAAATGCACCTGCTATTTGATAGTCTCAGGGTTCTCTTTAAAGCGCAGAGAGAACCATGAAGACAAAGGAACACACCAGGCAGGTCCGAGATACTGTTGTGGAGAAGTTTAAAGCCGGATTTGGATACAAAAAGATTTCCCAAGCTTTAAACATCTCAAGGAGCACTGTGCAAGCAATTATATTGAAATGGAAGGAGTATCAGACCACTGCAAATCTACCAAGACCTGGCCGTCCCTCCAAACTTTCATCTCAAACAAGGAGAAGACTGATCAGAGATGCAGCCAAGAGGCCCATGATCACTCTGGATGAACTGCAGATAACTACAGCTGAGGTGGGAGAGTCTGTCCATAGACAACAATCAGTCGTGCACTGCACAAATCTGGCCTTTATGGAAGAGTGGCAAGAAGAAAGCCATTTCTCAAAGATATCCATAAAAAGTCTCATTTAAAGTTTGCCACAAGCCACCTGGGAGACACACCAAACATGTGGAAGAAGGTGCTCTGGTCAGATGAAACCAAAATCGAACTTTTTGGCCACAATGCAAAACGATATGTTTGGCGTAAAAGCAACACAGCTCATCACCCTGAACACACCATCCCCACTGTCAAACATGGTGGTGGCAGCATCATGGTTTGGGCCTGCTTTTCTTCAGCAGGGACAGGGAAGATGGCTAAAATTGATGGGAAGATGGATGGAGCCAAATACAGGACAATTCTGGAAGAAAACCTGTTGGAGTCTGCAAAAGACCTGAGACTGGGACGGAGATTTATCTTCCAACAGGACAATGATCCAAAACATGAAGCCAAATCTACAATGGAATGGTTCACAAATAGACGTATCCAGGTGTTAGAATGGCCAAGTCAAAGTCCAGACCTGAATCCAATCGAGAATCTGTGGAAAGAGCTGAAGACTGCTGTTCACAAACGCTCTCCATCCAACCTCACTGAGCTCGAGCTGTTTTGCAAGGAAGAATGGGAAAGAATTCCAGTCTCTCGATGTGCAAAACTGATAGACATACCCCAAGCGACTTGCAGCTGTAATTGCAGCAAAAGGTGGCGCTTTCAAAGTATTAGCAAAAGGGGGCCGAATAATATTGCACGCCCCACTTTTCCGTTTTTTATTTGTTAAAAAAGTTTAAATTATCCTATAAATGTTGTTCCACTTCACGATTGTGTCCCACTTGTTGTTGATTCTTGACAAAAAAAAAATGTTTTATATCTTTATCTTTGAAGCCTGAAATGTGGCGAAATGTTGAAAGGTTCAAGGGGGCCGAATACTTTCGCAAGGTACTGTATACTGCGCTGGAACACATGTTGTAATACAATTGCTGAAAGTTGTGTGAAGAATGTAATTTGACTGTACACATTCTTGCAATAGATTTAGGAGGTAAAACTTCAAAAGGCAGAAAACAGATCTGTCCATGACATCATTGTATAAATGCTCCGTTTTCGGACAGAGGGGCAAGAGCAATGTTTTTAACAGACGTTTCGATGGGGTTTGCTTAACACAACTCCAGGCATGCATGTGTATGTTTATGTACAGCAACCGGGCAGACCAAAACAAATGTGAGAAGAAAAAAAACTGCATAATTTACTTGCCATATGGCATGGTTTGGGATTTCATCCTTGTCCCACTCAAATTTTAGGGCTTCTATACAAAGGCACCAATTCCTTAACAGTTATTTTTCAGTCCCTGCCCGATTTGAATATTTAATATAATAATACATTGAAATAGTTGAATTCTTACCTCGAGATTTGGGAAAACACTGTCCTGCTTGTTTCCAAAGGCTCCTCCGTACACTGTGAAGTCCTCAATGCTCATCTGTCACAGTCCAACATCAATCATTCATTAGTCTTTCAACATGTTTGTAAATATGAATATCGTTCTCTGCACCTTGTCTTGAAGGAAAAGTAACACGTTTTTAGGCCCCACGTTCAATGTCTTCTCCAGGTACAAAGACAACTGCTGCTGTTCCACAACATGTCCAGCAGAGGGGGCGGACTGGCTGGGCACAGAAGCCCTGTTTGTACAAGAAACCCAGAGATATTATTGTATTTCACTTTATTTAGATAGAGAAGTAAATCAGAGGAACACTTTCATCCAACAAACAGATGCATATCCAATTCCAACAGCAAATGAATAACCTTAGTAGCCTGACAAACACATTCAAAGAAAGATATATATCAAGTCTGTATTTGTTATAATGTTTGTAATTGACTCAATAATCTCAGAAAATTAGAATATAGTGAAAATAGTAATTTTCTAATTTTCAGAGTGTCACCTTTAGAGTCTTAATAACTTGCCTGTAAATATCTGGATGGGCTGAAACTCACAATTTCTTTAGGAAAATTGTGAGTTTCAGCCCAACCAGATATTTACAAGGGAAATAACTTTGTCGCGGTAGCTAAACAAATGTATAGATAGCAAAGATATTGGCAAAAAGTAGGTGTGCCTTATCACAATGAGTGAGTATAATATGACAATGCCTTATGTACAGGAGGTGCAGAAGGAAAAATATTGTGCAAAGATGAAAATGGTATCACAATAGATGACATAGTGGAGATAAGTTGACAATATTCTGTATTTAGGATTCAGAACCCTTTTAACTCTGGGGCGACAGTAGCTCAGTTGGTAGAACCTGAAGGTTGTGAATTCGAGCCCACCACGGGACCCACTCCAACTGCTCCCACTAATGTCTACTGTTGTTGTGTCCTTGGGCAAGACACTTAAGCCCACATAGCTTGAAGCTCCCAATGAAACACCATGGCCGTGGCACCACTGATGTAGCAGCCATCTACTCATGGATTCACCACCTGCTCAGGATCAGTGAGGGACTGGTGCTATGAGCATTGGGTGGCAGCTCTGTCACTCCCCCCGACCCAGAAATGGACTAATAAAGGGGTAGAAAATGAATGATTGAACCCTTTTAACATGATTTACTTTTCCCTCCTTTATTGCTGCTTTTTAACTTGTTGCTTAATTTACGCATGTTTGATGTTGTTATGGGTGTAATATGTGTATGTTCAAGTACTTTCTCTTGAGGATTCACAATAGTCTCATGGTCTTTTGAAAAAATGTTACGGTCAAATGGGTCGTAAAAGTAGAGTAAAGATCAATACAGCAGCTTTATCCAATACACCAATTACAAAGGCTGGGTATGATCGCACACTTCACTCAGCCAGCATAAAACTGAATAAAGATGGCAACACTTAAATCTAAGCTAGATCAAGGCTCACTGTAGTTAAAACAAAAAAACAAAAACGTCTGGGTTTGAGAAGCAAGGGCAGCCTTTGACTGGAGAGACACAAAAGCAGTTCCAGCAGTTGTGATGACACATAAAGATGGAAGTGTCGAGACTTTGTTTGTTAATATGAACAGAGAGAAAAGTATTGTAATATTATTAGTAGTATTATTTAAAACTAAAACAGGATTAAAAGAAGCCAAATATGTATTTATTTTAATAATCGTATGTGTATCTGGGTCACCTGGGTGGCCGTCTAATCCTATAAAGAGTATAAGATTAAGAGCTGTGGGTGAGTGCAGGTGTAACCAAGAGGGGCGAATGGGTTTTTGACCACTTTTGCTGTGTGTCTGTCCTCGTGTTTATAGACTGAAGGCTTTGGCTTTTTATTTCCCCTTGTGAATATTAGTGATAGGTTGATGAAGCTTTGTGAAGTGTTGAATCTTTCTGGTGTGAGAAAAGGTTCATTTCTTGAAGCTTCATATGCACACAAACCCCCTATCGGTCAAAAGCTGTGTTGACATTTGATTAGCGCATCGCAGATAAGCCTGGGTCTACTCTACATACTCACAATAACAGCACATTTTGGCTGGCTTGTATAGTATAGAAACTAGATAATCATTTCAGAATGTATCAAGATGGAAAAAAAATCATGGACAAACATGTGAGGTTCTCTGAGCAGTTTCTCCATATGTTTTTTCTTGTGGTACATATTATTATAGAATGTTGTATTATTATTTATGTTAACAATGGCAGCTCACTGGCAGTCCAAACATATATCAAGTTCACTTCTCAGAATCTAAATCAAGTTTGTCATTTCAATACCATGATATCAATCATTTGAATTAGACTTTATTGAAAATAATTGTTGTCTGTATTTTGAGTGATAACACGTAAATAGATTAATTCTATATGAATACAGACCATATTAAGATTTTCGGGAAAAAAAACTGAAATTATTTATCCTTTGAAAATTATTATTATAGATCCACGTTTGAAACTGACAGTGCTCCCTCTAGTGACCAGCAACAGTACTGACAATGACACACTGCACCTGTCATTCGATACCTTCATGTTAAAACGCACACAGTGAACGACACAATGCAATTCGTATTGGAAACATGTATATAATGTGAAGTCAATAATTATATTATTTTAAATCGAATGTGTATATTACTCTGTAACGATAACCTTGCCCAGCACATCCCCGTTAATACCACACCGCTCAATTTTAAATATTAACTCAAATAAAGTAGAATATTGATAAATACTGACCCTTCGCTGGTCCATAAGATGAGCGGCACCTGTTCATCACCAGAGCAGCTGGACAAAAGCTGAAATACGGTGAGGAGAAGGCCCAGAGCGGGAGGGATGCGGAGGAGACGCGAGAGCTCAGCGGCCGCCATCTTTGAGCTGCTGAGGAGGAAGACGAGCGTGCGCGTGCGTGAGGCTTGAGTGACCGCGCGCGCACAAACATCACAGACAGGGGAGGGCGGGGTTGATACAGAGGAGAGTAGCAGCATCAGGACCAGGACCATCAGGACCAGCGTCAGGAGAGACTATAAGGACCAGAACCAGTCATTGGCATCAAAAGCAGGAAACTTTCCACGAGCATAATAACAAAGTACAACGTGCTGGAATATTCCATTTCAAAACATTAAGGCTAGGGTAACTAATATTCAATCCATAAAAAAATAAAACAGAGAAACAGACAAATCCATCTACTTCATGGCTTGTTCTTTAGTGGAGATTATTTCAAATCATAGTGTAACAGAACCTAACAAAACTAGTTATTATATTATTATTATTTTTAAGTCATTTAATTGAACATGTTTATTCAAAATAGGATATCCTTTCAGCATTTTATTGGCATTCACATAAGAAAGTTCCAGCATCCTTGAACATGTTCAAGGACATTCATCTAGTCTTTTAACTTTATCTGTTTGGGAAAGGTTATTGCCCAAAAATTTACAAAAAATCATATAAATGGATCTAGAAATATTTATGATTTAACTTCCAAAGAATGCAACTGTTTCAAAAGATTACATTTAGATTAATTTGTCTTTGCTCTGAATGTACAATCATGTTTAATCATGCTTTGCATAAGTTTCCTTTCCACTTTCAAAGCCCAATAATCAGCTAAAACTGGGAAACCAAATGTATTCTTTTCAGAAATAAACCATGTTGCTTGCCACAACAGATATGTGACCATAAGTGAACAAATACGTCTTCATCTTATTCATTAAGATACTATTTTGCATACTTGTAAAAAAGAGCCCTGTGAGTCACTACCATTATTTGGATTGAAAGTAATCTACTTTTCCGTCTGAAAAAGCTAATCTAAGTATGCATGTTTTGAGACAGAGGAACTAGTGTATTTAAGATTTGAAAATAAAGTACTCCAGCTTAAAAGCTGCAGGGAACGTATACAGAAATCCTGCCACCATGAGGTACAATTGCTCTGAATGTCCAAGCAGAGCAACGGCCTGCTTTTTAATGTCAGCACTATAGGTTTAGACCCTTCAAAAGGCACTTCAGTTCCCTAATCTCAAATATAGAGCTAGGTCCAAAATATAGATTCATTCTAAATACGTTTGATCGAATGCTTAAGTGTGGAATGTTCCAGGCCGACATGGTGGAAAGTTGTGGCTTCTTGTGCACACGCAGATGCAAGTTCTATCTCATTGGTCAGCTGGAATGATGCATTTTCTTGATCAATATTGATAAACTTGGGATTTTTTCTGATTTTCATCTGTGGATGGTAAGGTAGGTCAGAGATGAGTATTTCTTCTGTCTCCTATTTTTGTGCTGCAGCTTAGTGGAGAAATAGGGAAGACCCTAAAATCAATGGGCCTCATTCACGAACGGTTCTTAGGAACAGATTTGTACGTAAATCCTACTTACGCGGTTTTTACGAAGAAAGTGGCATTCACGAATATTTCTCGTAACCAGAATTTCTCTTGGGCAAGTACAAATCCTACGAGTCCTCAGGAGCACTCGTACGCATTCAGTGCCGACATGTTCACACGCCGGGGTTGTCCTCTTTGGTGAAGTTGAATAAAAATACAACATTCCAGTGATATGTCCGTCATATCGATGTATGTATTTATTTATTTGTAGTAATCTTTATTAGTAATCTTTATTTATATAACGCCTTTTTCACTGCAGATCTGGCCTACTTTTTAATTCATTTTGAAATGAAATGTGCCAACGCTTTATCAAATACATTGGAAATCTTGCCGTGTATTAGTGACCCCTTCCTATTTATAGGGGGCATTTCTTTATCCACGGGCCACAGAACAACGGCATATATACTGCTGCTGCAGGAGGTTACTGAGTCTCTGCGCTGGTCTCTCCTATGGATCTATACGGGTCTGCGCTGGTGTCTCCCATATACGGGTCTGCACTGGTCTCTCCCATGGATCTATACGGGTCTGCACTGGTCTCTCCCATATACGGGTCTGCACTAGTCTCTCCCATGGATCTATACTGGTCTGCACTGGTCTCTCCATACGGATCCGCGCTGGTCTCTCAAGTCTGGTCTATGCGGTCTCTCTTCGGTCCGCGCTGGTCTCTGCGCACCGGTCTCTCCCCAGTCAGGTCACTACAGTCTATGCGGTCTCTCCAGTCAGGTCACTCCAGTCTATGCGGTCTCTCCTATAGGTCCGCGCTGGTTTCTGTGTGCTGGTCACTCCAGTCTCTCCTCGGGTCTGCATTGGTCTCAGCGCTGGTCCGCGCTGGATCTCCTCCCAGGGTCCAAAATATTTTGAGATTAATCTCAAAACATTTTGAGATTCATCTTTAAAATAATACATAATATATTTTTAAATTAAGCTCATAACATTTTGAGATTAATCTCATCATATTCTTAGATTAATCTCATAATTTTGCTAGTTCGACTTTATTATCATAATATTTCGACTTTTAAGTCAACATTTTATAACTTTATTCTCAGTCTGGTAAAAGAAGAAAAAAGGGTGACTTTTGCTCCGTGTAAAGGCCTGTTGCTGTTTCCTCTGCCGTCTGCACACGGCCCTGCAGTCCCTTATATGGGCATTAGTGGGCGGTTACTTATGCTAAGTACCTATGCTAATGAAGCACCTGGCACGCGCGCTCTACTTACGAGGAAATGGGATTCATCAATCTGAGAGAACAGCTGCGAACAATTCAGCGGCTTACGAGTGCGTTGATGAATCCCACGTGGGGACTTCTTAGAAATCTACTTAAGGACAACTTGAGAAGAAAGTTGAGTAGTTTCTTACGAAGTTATTCGTGAATGAGGCCCAATGTCTTTACCCAGTCATGCCGCCTTCATGCGATCTTAGAAACCCTGAAATATATGTAATCTTCCGACTTCCCAAAATCAAAGCGTTCATGAGGAGCTGCACAGCACAAAAATGTGCTCATTTATCATAAAGGCACAGAAATCCGTACAATGGTTTTCAATAGTTTTAAATGAGAACTACAGGTAAAAATAATAAAAAGTGCTTATACATAAAAACATTTATTTAAGATTAATTAAACGATATGTGCTCGTAAATGGGTTTTTGGCTAAGATTTATATACATATATCTCACTTTGTTTCTATTATTTCTATCCAATTACAATCTGAGTGACGGGAACCCAAGGAACCCAGGGACCATTGATTCAGCCCAAGTTTTCCAGTTGATTTTCAGGATTGCATGTCGGAGAGGTTTCTGTTCTGAGGCTTTCTAGAGCAGCGTTTTTATCCTTTTCTGAGTGGGAGGTTGAATGTTCCCAGGTTGTTCCCAAGATCCTATGAACATGGCATGTGTATTGGACTCATTTGTATATAGTTTTATTATTTTCCTTTTATTTGGACTAAAATACAAACTGGGATGAAATCTGTAAAACGTTCACCAAACATATCTGTTGTTTATTAGACAAATCAGTGGTAAAACCTGTAAAAGGCACTATTTGTTCTTTTGTTTCTGATCGGTTATGTCATAGATAAGTTTATAAACCCATGCATTGTCTCCAGATGAGCTCTGCTTCAAACTGTTCATTAAAACGATTCAAACATGCTACCAGACTGCTGCTGATCTTTCATAACGCATCTTCACTACATAATCTCAATTTCTAAATCATTAAGTTCCCAAAGTAAATAATGGTTCAAGATCGTGATTGAGAGACAAACAGATAACAATGATGTAGAATATAAAAAAATTGACTACTTTCAAAAGTTTGCAATTCAAATCAGATGATCCTTGTTCTTTTCTTGCTTATGTTTTTGAGACCATATTTAGAAAGGTCTTTGTCCTCTGTCCCGGATGCCTTTCACATCACAGGGAAGTGTCTTGTCCAGAGGCACAGCAGCAGCAACATGCATTTAGATGAGGGGAGCTCCTGGTGGATGGGTGGATGCTTCGCCCACTGCACCAGCGTGGCCCCAGCAGCGTGGTTCTTCTGGGCTGTGGTGTTTGTTAAGGTAGAGTGGCCTGATGAGCGGTGAGCCAAGTGGGATCAGGAGTTGGTCTGAGTTTGTCGATGAAGAGCTTCGGCGCGAGGCTTCAAACTGCGGAACTCGGCCTGGATGAAGTCTGTCAGAGTCTTCCTCATCTCCAGCTACAGATAACAGGACAACATCTACAGTTCAGTTCATTTTCACTTTTAGAACAAAATCTGCCCTTACATAAAAGGTGGGGTTACTATGTTTTTCACTCACAAATAATCCATGGTTTGTCTATCTTTGGGCTGACAGCTGATCTGCAGAGTGAAAATAGTCCTTTCTTTTTCACTTATCTGTCTGAAAAAGCTGATCTGAAGTTGTGACAAATACAAACTGTTTTGAGAGCAAGGAACTATTATAATATATTGATTTTAATAGTTCCTTTTTTGTGAATGTTAGGTACCCCAGCTTTAAGTGGAGCATGAAGTGTGAAGTTGGTTTTCTAGTTCTCTCCCTTTTAAAACAAGTTTTACATTTAAATTAGTTATTTGTCCTGTCAAATAGGTCTTTACAACTTCTGTCCAAAAAAGCAGGCCGAAAGCTGCTCTGATCTTGCCTGGTCGTACCACACCATAGTACAAATGACATTTCGTACTAAGTCTGGAGGTGCTCCATTGAGCTCCGTTTACAGAACTCCTTTTGCAGATTGAAACGATTGGATCTGAGTTTACCGTGACGTATGTAATGTGCCCGAGGGACTCGTTAGCATTTAGCTTTTAGACTAGCCATCTCCTTTGCCGCTAATGGAGCCCGTGGGGAGTAGCGCCACAATTTTTTCCAGCGATTACATTTGTTAAACATTCCTATTGCTCCGGCTTCAATTTCTTGATAGAACCAGACCAGATTACTTTACTATCGCGTTCTTCACCATTGCCAAACTACAACCTGCCTGTTCGACGCAAACTCTTGACGTCACCCACAACTAACTACAACACCTGCCTTCCGCGCCCTCTGAATGATCGGTCGAAATTCAACCGATTGTAATCGCTAACACAGGGACTAGACCCAGATGTTACATGCAGTGAAATGATGATTGAACGGAGTGTACGGATGGCTAAGGCCAGGCTAGCTCTGATCACAACCTCAGTGGAAACAAAGACAAAAACCTTTATAATGGGGTTCTAATGTGAAAAGAGACAAACCTGAGACTTGTTTTCAGCTCGGAGGGATTCCACTTGCTCCTTCACACTGAATGGGTTTCCCACCAGAACTGTGATCCTCTAAAATACAAGAGAAATTTTACTGGAATCCTCAGATGTCCTCTACAATAAACTACACCACCAACTTTGGAAGGACTAATTATCCAAGTTAATTTATCTCCCTATGGACAAGCCTAATCACACTAGGGAGGTGCACAATTTAGACAAATTCAGAGTTTAAACAGTAATTTTATAAGTCAAAATTATTAATTCAGTTACATTAGGGTCAGAGCTCAACATTAACATTGTCTGCTTTCCTGGGGCAATTAAAGATTTGAGACAGACAAGTGCGCTGTCTTAGCAAGTTGCATTATCAGGCAAGTGATGTTTAGCTCACAGTACAGGCTGGGAACGCAATCCCGCATTTCTACCTCTAGAGCCGGGAGTGAACACGTCCGTTTATCTTTTTGGGATCAGTTCTCTTCATTGGTCAATTCTCTTGATCAATGAAATGCATCAGGATATACCAGGAATTAGATATTTCCGCATATGCGTAATTTCCGATTTCCCGCTGAAAATGTCATTTCTGTATGATGTGTGACTGCGGGGCACTTGCTGTTGTTTGCTGTACGTACTCGAACAGGATTCCATATCCTCCGGTCTGACCCCGGGCAGCAGCGGCCACTTTGTACTGACAGCATTCTGACCCGGGCCAGCTGCGGCCGCTTTGTAATGACAGCGGTTCCTTGATTGCACAGGCGTAACGTGGTACTGACCATAGGACACACGTACACAATCCATAGTTCGTTGCCAGTGCCGGCCTCCCCCCTGTCTCCTCCTTGTCTCCCCCGTGTCTCCCCCGTGTCTCCCCCATGTCTCCCCTGTGTCCCCCCTGTGTCTCCTATCGAAGCGCAACCAAAACGCACGAAATTAAAGCTCAGGTACCTGCAAGGTACCTTGCATTAACAATGCATGTTGTATGTGCACAACACACCACAACAGGCCATATTGTATTTCATTTGCACACGTGAGTCTTTTGATTTTTTTGGGTTGAGTAACTTTTGACATCGGGCAAGTAAAATATAAATTGTACTTGGTTCTTGAAGGGCAAGTGGCTGACAAAGCTTAATGTCCCCTTCACGCTCTCTTGAATTTTTTTTAAGAGAGGCTCGAGTTGCCGCGTGTGTAGAAGCTTGGACCTTATACAGCACTTTTTTGGTAAATTTGTAACATCAGCCCTTACCACAACACACACACACACAAGACTGATAGTACGCTATGGGAATGGTCTTGGTGACGGACACTGACAGTTTGCAGTTTACAGCCTCAACCTCACTGTGGAAGCTGATGTTACATTGGCCTCCCATCAAAGTACTGACAAACCCTACCCTGCTTAGATGAGACTTGATTGTACTTGCCTTCCCAGTCTGAGGAATATAGGGCTTTTCATTCGGGAGGACGTCGCTCAGACCTACAAACATTTATAGTAAGTGTTAGCTGCACCAAAAAGAGCACTCTCATCACACCCTCATCCACACAACCACCCTGACACACTCACAAACACCCTTACCCACGTGCCAGAGAGGAACGATGATAGGATCCAACGTACACTCTGCTATGAGCCGACCGACACCTGCATGTATGAATACAATCAATGAATTCTGAAAGTTGATTGGTTGATATTTGCCATTATTATATATAGCAGTGCTTAAAAATGTATGACCCAGGTAGAAATCAATACTGCCAGAAACTCCTCTTCTCCATCCCTCAGTTCTCAATATTGTGTATTGCCCGATAAACATCTATGACAGCTTTTGTGGCAGTTGTGGCTGAGGTTTTTTATCTTCATTTTCCTTCTTGGTAAATAGCCTCCAGTCCCTGTAAATTCCTGGGGTTCCTTGCATGGCACAGTGGGGCAATGGTTAGTGCTAGTGCTTCAAAGCAAGAAAATACTGCGTTCAATTTAACTTTCAGACAGGGCCTTTCTGTGTGAAGTTTCCATGTTCTCCTTGGCATATGTTTTCGCCGGGTGCTTTGGTTTCCCCTAGCACTAAAAACAGTACAATAAGCCAGGACTCCCCTGATTGATATAATTTGAAATTAGAAAACAGTTTTATTTGATAAGGCGTCACACAACCACCAACAATGAGTGAAAAAGTGTTTGTGCTATCATTCATAATGTGGCCAAACCAATGACTTTAACTGGGTGTAAACTCTCCAGCGCAACTAGACAAGCATTTTCAATAAATGAAAAAATATTTTGTAATGGAATACTGGTGTGGGTATTGTGAAGTTGTGCCATTGATAGTATATATTTTTGTGTTAGATGTATTGTTGAGTCCAAAACTATGAAGAAACGTACCCCATTTTAAGCGTATGAACTCCTCCGTCATATTCACCTTCCCTATATTCAAAAGGAAACAAAGAGGGCCATTTCAGGACTATCAAGAACAAAATGAAAATAGGGAGATGATTTGGCCAACCTTCAGGAAATATATGGACCCACTCTCCGTTGTTAAGTTTGTCCAAAACAAAGTCCATTCCTTTCTGGTAAACTCCGTCACCTGCAAGGTTAAAGCCTTGAATGTCTTTGTGCAGCCTGGATCTATCAGCAGATGACGTTGTCTGCTGGATTTATTACCAGAAACTTGTGGTAAAAACGTCTCCTCGCCCCTTCTATCCTAACACTCGGTTGTTAAAGTTACACTATATGCTACATTGTCGCTGACATATTGTGCGTTTATATATATATATATAATAGGGCTGTCAAAATTATCGCGTAAACGCACGTTTGTTTATTATACAATAAAAAATCTACATAAAATGGCATTAACATTCTTTCTTTCTGTAGTAGACAGTATTTTTTCATTTTTGGATCCTATTCATTATTGTGCCTCTTGCTGGTGGCTTGTAGGATGGGTCGAGGTACGCTACTCTCAATGTTTTAGTGAGACTGTGCTAATCGGTCCAGGCATGGACTGGGACTAAAACACTTTTTTTCAAGGTTATTTATATGGTATGTGGAAGCACATACTGACTGTGTAGAGGATGTATGTAGTTTCGACAATTGAAATAAAGTGCAATACGTTACAAGAGAGTAATAAACATGTCACAACACAGACTGAGGAAGATGGACAAAGACCAAAAGTATTTTGGGGATGAGAATGGAACATTTCAAAAATTTCTGAAATGCATAATGTCAGCCAATGGCTGTCATTAAATCTGTTTGATTTGTTCACAACATTTGCAAGGGAAAAATTAGGTACCCCAGCTTTAATTTAGCAAGTTTAGTTTGGGAGGAGACTTTCTGAGGCCCCATACGCTTCAGCGGCGTATTTATTGCATGTACACGTTACGCAAAGACACGCACACAGCAAGGAGAGAATAGATCTGTGCGCGTCTTGGATATGATCACGTTACAAAGCGGCTCACAGCCGCTGAAGGTGAACCGCTGTCCAGAAAGAAAATCAATCAAACTCAATCAAAGATGGTATAATTGTGTGTACATTCAGTTTCTCATATTAGCTTTAGGACTGGATGCAGAAGAGCAGCACTGACCTCTGATCACGGGGACACACTTTCCGCGGCTGAAAAACTTTGAGTACACTTCTTTAGTGAAACAGATGTCTGATGCAGCTGGAGTCCTGGGCACAACAATCATTTACACCACTCTCCCACTTGTATTTATTTATTTGAGAATGAACTCACCAGCGCATCTTTTGGAAGGTCCACAGGTGTCTGAGCTTCAAGACACCTAAAAAGAACAAAAACTTGATCCTCTACTGAACGGGTACTTTGCCATTTCATAGTTTAGAAAATATTATAACAGCAGTGTGTTATGAAACTTTTGTCGTTACACGTTCTACACACTGGCTCCAGACATCAATCAATTATGATTTAATTTCAAACGTTTTTTGAACAGTCAACATTGTAGCAGACAGTTCCCAGCTCTTTGGTTATGGCATAGAGATTAATGACCGGGACATCTGCATACATATAACATGTGGCAGAATGACAGGCACCAGGCCTGTTTTACGTCTTAAAGTAAAGTTATATATCTTAAAGTTTGTTATATTTGTTGATGAGTATGGCTTAAAATCCAATTCCAAAATATTAAAAATTCACAAGATGTCTTACTTTGGGTTTTTACAATATATATCACTTTGGGTGTAATTGGTGCCATATTTTTGTATCACATTGTAAGTAGCATTACAGAAGTAAATTACTTTTGAACTATCTTAAAGTGTTTTGAGTGTCCTCTGTATTAATATTTGATGCAATAATTGAGACTATATAGTTGTTTCAAAACAGCAGGGACCAGGTTGTGCTAATATTCACTCATATTAGTATTAATGGAGCTCAACATAACTCCAGGTTTGTATTTGGTGACGGACAACGCACAACGCATTATTTTATAAAATAATATTTGCAACATATCAAATAGACCGAGAATTGTGTTTAGCGCCATCCATGCAAGGTTGGAATGTCAGATACCTTCGACATAAGCACTTCCCTTTCTGTGTAAATGCTTGGTTTTCAAACTTGTTACACTATGATTTATCCTCTGAAATCATGGAGAGAGACGATTTCTACTCTCTCAAGATCCTTTCCAAGTGCTAAAGTCTTACCCCATATAAGTGGGTCGTCCATGCAGGACTGGTGGTTGCACAGTGTGATAAGGGGGGAACCTGAGGGCCTGGACTCCACCAGCTCCAGCAGCGTCTCGTGGTTATGGACAGACAGGCGATTCATGTATTCTGACAAACACACAAACACGGAACTGTTCATGTCTTTATAATGAAACAATAAGATAAATGGGTCTGCTATCCACGTCACATCCTCCGCCCTAGGCTGAGGATGTTGGGGCGGGTACTCGGATCTCCCTGGCTGAAGTAACCAAGGTTGTTGGCAGCCTCCTTGGTGGCAACTGGATGAGATCCGTCCTGACTATCTAAAATCTCTGGATGTTGTCTTGGCTAGCACGTTTCTGTGGCATCGCATGGCGAGTTGTTTTGTAAAGAGGAATGGGATAAACTGTATCTAGATGTGCAAGTCTTGTAAAGTCACACCCCAAAAGACTTGCTACTGTTATTTCAGCAAAAGAGGGTTCCGCAAAGTATTAACTCATGCTGTATGAATACTGCATGCCCAGAATTTATTTATCTTTAAATAATAAATCATTTTTCTTTCACTTTACAGTTGTGTTACTTGTGTGTGAACTAAAAATAAAATATTTGTGGTTTATGGTTTAAAACATACGTAGAAGTAAGTAAGTAAGCTTTTATTTATATACCGCCTTTTCACTGCACATCAGAGTCTCAAAGCGGTTTACAATTGTTGGGTGGGGGTGCCAGTACAGGAGGCACATGCCATACCTATTGTACATATTTTTAGTGGTAGGGGAAACCGGAGCACCCGGAGGAAACCTACGCAGACACGGGGAGAACATGCAAACTCCACTCAGAAAGGCCCTGGTCCAACCGGGATTCGAACCCAGGACCTTCTTGCTGAGAGGCGAGAGTGCTATCCACTCAGCCACCGTGCTGAGTGGAGAAGAAATTCAGGTGTCCAGTAGCAGCAAAAATAAAAATTAAAACATGACAAAATGTGCAAAGTCCAAGCTGTATTAATACTTTTGAGAGGAACTGTATGTGTTAGACCATGATCTATAAGACATATCTTTAAAAAGTTATTATAAATATTAGCATTATTAATAATAATAATAACGCATCAATTTTATATAGTGTTTTTTTGGACACTCAATGAGTCCAGTCCATGCACAGTGGTGATAAACTACTAATGTAGCCACACAGCTGCCTTGGGGGGGGCAACCAGTATGTGCCCTCGGCCCTTTCGACCACCACCAACCATTCACACACACAAGTGATTTCACAATTAGGGGTCTGTGTTTAAATCAGATTTAAACATTTATGTAGATATCCTCAGCTCTGAGAGGGGAAGTGTTTAAACCCAACAGTTGGTTGTTCTACATTCTGTTAGAACCAACCCCCTGTGAGCAGCTATAGCATGGTCCCATAGTAAATCAGTAATCAGAGGTCAAAACTACAGGACCTCTCCTTAACAAAAGGTTCAGCCTTTTGTTTGTACTCCTGTCTTTCAAAACAGATCCAGTTCGAGTCAAAAGAGGTGAAAGATAATGTCACTTACTGGTCCAGAGGTAGGAGTAGGAGCCCACCATTCCCATGACCACAGAGCCAGAGAGCCTCCAGGCCAGAGTGGGGCAGTTTGGGAACGGCCACTTCACCTCCAGGGGCATGGCGGCAGCTCCGGCGGCTGCTCCTCCGGCTGCTACTGCTACAACATACATAGCATCCAATAAAGTATAGTGCATGCATGTTGTGTTTCCCAGAGCCAGAGTGGATTTCTGCACATGCACTGGTCAAGCCAAAAATCAAAAGATGGAAAAATCACAATGTCATTGTTTGCATTTGCATTGAAATTGAGAGAAAGTTCTTTAGATAGAACTGTGACAAAGAGACCACCCTTCCTCAGTCAATAAGCTCTCAGCCCAAAGTATCAAATAGTGACATTTATGTTCTTATGTTTTCTAATAAGGTCAGATTTCACATTAATTTCACACAACAAACTGGAAACCCTGATTGAATAATATGCTAGAAAACTCTAAACATATTTAAAAATACAAAGATGATAATTAACACAACTTTAAACTTTTGTTCAGAAAAGTTCAGATACGATTGGTACATGTTATATGTGTCTTCTAGAGACACATATAAACAATGTCATGTATAATTAAAATATTACATACTATCCCTTTAAACTGGTAGAATGATATAGTCTATTGAAGAAAAGTAAATACTACAATATCTCCTGATACAGTGGCACTGTGGCTGAATGGATAGCACTCTCGTTTCACAGCAAGAAGGTCCTGGGTTCGAATCCCAGGTGAAACAGGGCCTTTCTGAGTGGAGTTTGCATGTTCTCCCTGTGTCTGCATAGGTTTCCTCCGGGTACTTCGGTTTCCCCTCACTAAAAACATGTACGATGTTTCTGGCGACTTTGTGTAGTGAGAGGACGCCCATAATTGTAAACCGCTTTGAGACTCTTGTCTGTGATAGGGGGTAAATAAATAAAGATTACTTACTTACTCATTACTTCCCTAGAGACTTTTACATTTAAAGATGAATGAAACAAATGTTGGTCGCATCCTTTGACCGAATCAACTATTAAAGATCAACCGTGAATCTAATAAATCACACATGAAACAAATCAAATTAAATGCCTGTTTAGAAGTATCCCCAGGCACAGATTAAAATGTACAGTTTTTCTTGATGCAGCCAAACACCATCAAAATAAACGTTATTGATTCACCCATGTCTCTGATCTCCACAGCACTCATTCAAAGGTCACACTGTGGTCAACGAGGCACACAGAGCGAGCTGCTGTTTATGGCAAAAGCATGGCATATGGCAAAATATGTTTATGGTTATGACAGTTTGATAAGCTTTGACACAGTTTTTCCATACAAAACCTAATTTCTGAAAAAAAAAAAAATAGGATACAAATCACATGTGGAGGAATGACACCACTGCTATAATGAAGTGAGACCAAGTCAGTTCCTTCCTTCTTCTAACCACACATTCACGTTCAATACTGTCAAACTAAACATGTTCCGCAGACACGGCAGATGCATTCACATCGTTATGTATTATTGTTCCACACACATTTAGCAGTTATATTTACCGGCTCTCACACTTCTCTTCCGATGGACACTGCTTCCGGGATAGCAAGCGCACTGAATTTTGGGTAGTGTAGTTTTGAGATAACATGTTTTAGTTTAGCCACAAGAGTGCGCTGTTTTCAAAGACATTAATCAAAGCACATTTAGTTTCTTGTCCTCTGGATCTGTTTGTGTATTTGTTGCCTTGTGTGTGTAGTTGAAGTCCACGTTTTTGTTTTCATTATGCTCAATTAACTACGGACTGTATTTTACTTTTAGTTTAGGACACATTTTTTAACCATATTATTCCTAATATTATGAATAAAAGTAATTGTTTAGTTTGTGATTATAAAACAGTCACAGATGTAAATGAGCTATGAACAAACTCTCCACAGACACTTAATTCTTGATGTCCCTGTTTTTGTCTGTTCAATGGGCAACAGTAGCTCAGTTGGTTGAGCTCAAAGGCCACAACATTGGCCTTTGAGCCAGAAGGTTGTGGGTTCAAGCCCACCTTAAGACTCTCACCATTGTTTGCTGCCGTTGTGTCCTTAGGCAGGACACTTCACCCCCATTACCTTGAATGAGTCTGTGTGTGTGAATGGTGACTGGTTGCCTTTATTCTGTCAGTGTGCCCCAGGGCAGCTGTGGCTACAGTAGTAGTTCCTCACCACTGTGTTTGGAGTGAATAAATAATGACATGTAGAGCGTCTTTTAGTGTCCAAAAAAGCGCTATATAAAACCAATGCATTATTATTATTGTTTTTCACTGTCTCTACTTTTATTTTCCAAGAATGAGAAGATGGGACCATTTGAAACGTAGGGCAGTATTTATTAATTCTGGTGATAAACTATGCAAAAAAATAGCGAGTGAAATTTAAGTGGTCTCTGCATGTGCATAGATCTGTTGTCTACAATGTTCATATATTTTTACATACATTTTAGACACAAACGTGTGATGAATATACAGTGCCTTGCAAAAGTATTCACCCTGGCATTTTGTGTGTTTTGTTGCCTCACAACCTGGAATTAACATGGATTGTTTGAGGATTTGCATCAGTTCATTTACAGAACATGCCCACAACTTTGAAGATGTTGTCTTTTTTTATTGTGAAGCAAACAACAAATAGGACAAAATAACAGAAATGGTCAGTATTATTAACTATTCACCTCCCTAAAGTCAATACTTTGTAGCGCCCCCTTTTGCGGCAATCACAGCTCCAAGTCGCTTTGGATGAGTCTATGAGCTTGCCATATCTTACCTCTGGGATGTTTGCCCATTCCTCCTTGCAAAACTGCTCCAGCTCCTTCCAGTTGGATGGTTTGCGCTTGTGAACAGCAATCTTTAAGTCTAACCACAGATTTTCTGTGGTCTGGGCTTTGACTTAGGCCATTCCAACACAACATGTTTCCCCTTAAACCACTGAAGTGTTGCTTTAGCAGTGTGTTTGGGGTCATTGTCCTGCTGCAAGGTGAAAGGCAACTGCATTCTAGTTTGGTTTGGTCTGTAAACCTGTTCTAGTACTCTTCCAGGACAGGTTACTCCAATTATGATGTGGTGTGTGCAGAAAAAAGTTACAAATGAATGTAAAATTTCTAGTTTTATTTAAGTTGTTTAGGATTCTTGCCAGATTTAAATGGTCGTGTCTTATCTTGTATTAGACCTGATTGAGATTTACATACACAATCTGTCCCTTGAACGTGCTTTCATATCTTCACCTGAAAGAGTAATCTACTTCGCGTCAGTGTGAAATACAACCCCCAATGCAAAACATCTGCATGTTTATAAACACACAGTTGTTATGAACACCATGAAAAAGAAATGTTCAGAACTAAATTGATTAAAAAGGCTGGAAATTTCTACACAGCTCTGTATAATGCTACAGATTGGACAGATTTACCTGTGCGTTCTGTGGGGGAAGAGCACCAGTTTTTAATTATAATAACTTTAATAATAATAATATATTGTATCCAAATGTGCACTCAAAGTACATTGATAACAATGGATTAAACAAATCCTTTGTTCTTGTTCATATAGTGCATATGGTTCCAGTATTAGTCCGACGTTGTTCTTTGTAATTACCAAAAATCAAACAACATAAAAATACTCAATGTTTTCTCTTTATTTTAAAGATATTTAATCATGACATGTCCAAAAACAGCTCACATACAAACATAATAAAAACACAGCATATCACAACAGCTCAAAAATGAACTATAAAAATATGATAAATAATTCTGTGTCTTTGGGTTTTGTGCAAATGCAGACTGAGCGTGGACTTTACCAGCTCGGAGCAGCTTTGTTCAGACCTTTTAACGCCAATTCAAATCCAAGAAAGCAGGCCTACAACACAAAGAAGTCATGTTATATTTGATCCCATTCTTAGCAGGTATCAAGATCTGTGCCTGATCTTGCAGAGAAGTATGTGGGCACTGTGGGCCATTGTTTCATATATTGTATTATTATCATCATCATCATCATCATCATCATTATTATTATTATGCAGCTTTAATTATGTATGTATTCCTTAATTCAATTTTTTTAATAGTTTCATTTATTTTCTGCCGGTGTATTTTTTGCTTTCCTTATTTTTTGTGATTCATGGGACCACATAATTTCCCTTTGTATTTATGGCAACATTATGTTAGTCATTAATACAAAGGGACAAAGATAGGGCTGTAACAAAATAAAGTGTTGCAATATATCGTATTTTAGTGAACCACAATATCATGTATCTATACTTTTAATATTTAATTAACATTGCATATTAATTTTAATTTAACTTGCTACACATTGTTTGGTAGAAAATACTTTGTAAATACATTTTAATTTCATTGTGCTGAATTATCTAAATTGCAAACCTCCTCCTGTTTCAGTCAAAAAACAAATACATTCATTATTTATTAGTTGTATATCTAAAATAGATTAGTTATTTATCAATTAACTATTTGACAACATCTTCTAGTCCACAAACTCACAGCGTTGGCGGGGAAGGCTCGCAGGAACACTGCGTTGAATCCTTTATAGAGAGCTTTAGGTCCCTCCTCCTTCAGCAAAGTCCTGAGCACGTCCAGCAGCCCACGGTACTTCCCATCCGCCGCTGAAAGGACACAGGACATTGGTCAGATTACACATACACTAACCTTACACACACAAACAAACATCACTCCATGTACACACACATGCACACATTCACACTCGCAAACAAGTACACACAAACACACGCATGCACACATGAAAAAGTGCCCTGACCCGTCTGAAAGTTGGACTTGAGCACGTCTGGAGGCAGAGCGATGGTCCAGTTCAAGATGCCAGCCACTCCACCAGCCAGCAAGATCTTTGGAGTGCTAAGCTCCGACACACTGCCACACACACACACACACGCACAAGAGATTACAATGAAGAATAACATTATCCATCCATTTTCTTCCCCTTAATCCATTTCTGGGTCAAAGGGGTGGCAGTCAGAGCTGCACCCAGTACACAGAGCACCAGCCCCTCACTGATCCTCCTGCAAGTGGTGAGTCCACAGGAGCCTTGATCTTTCAGTGGGGGCTTCAGGCAAAGTGGGGTTAAGTGTCTTGCCCAAGGACACAACGATCGTAGACATCAGTGGGAGTCGAGAAGAACGTCTTGTGGTGGGCTCAAACCCCCGACCTTCAGGCCCAAAGGCCAATGCTCTACCAACTGAGCCACCCCATAATAATATTAATCAAATATATACATACATTTTATATTAACATGACTTAAAGTACCACCTGCAGAGGGTCAGTGAGGGGCTGGTGCTATGAGACTTGGGTGGCATCTCTGATTGCCACCCCCCTGACCCAGAAATTGATTAAAGGGTAGAAAATGGATCGATGGATGACTTAAAGTAGCAATATGTAAGATTTTCATGTCAAGTCATCATTAAATGGCCCTAATACTTCAAAAGGCATAAATGAACCATGTTCTTTTTGAATACGTTTTAACTGATGACAGTAGTTCAGCCGAGATATTTGTATTTCAAAATTAGTTTTACAGCCCCTAAATCTTGTTATTGTTTTCATTTCGATTTCCCGCCCTCCATCGTTTTACCAATCAGAAAGTCTGTAATCCGGGTCGCCAGAACTCACTGCGCCGAGCTAATCCCACTGATAAAGTAACATGTAATGATAATAATTTATTTATTGTCATTGTCATAAAAACAACAAAATTACATTTAGAGCATCACCATGATAAGCGTAAAAAGTGCAGAAGTTGGCAGGATGTAAACAGCACAGGGCAGAGGTAGCAGAAACAGTAACAGGTTGTAAGTGAGTATGTAGCTGCAACAATGCACGACCAGTTCATAGTTATGGCAGATATGTAAAATCAAAAGTAGAGGGTAATGGGGGTCCGGAGGGTGAGAAAGGGGGCAGTGTTCATTGACCAGTCTGACAGCCTGGGGGTAAAGGCTGTTGGTCATTCTGCTGGTTTGGGCAGGGAGTGACCTGTACCTCCGGCCCGAGGGCAGCAGGTGGAACAGTCACCTGCCGCAGTCATGTGGCCGCAGAACTAGAAAAGGTCTTGTTATGATTCCTAAATGACAAAACAAGGAATATAAAGAGGACTTCTATTGGGGCCTTTGTGAAAAAGGTGTTCGATATAGATTTGTTGTTGACAAAACTCTTGTCTATTCAGATACTATGTTCCCTATGATACTGTATGTTGCAGAACCACTTTTGGCCAGATTTTACTGCTCCTTCAAACCTGGGGTACCTAAGTTCTGTATTTATTTATTTTGAGAGGGACAATACACATTAATGAACATATGCGTGACCATATGTAAATACGGATTATAGATTCATACGCAGTCCCTATAGGCAGGCACAAGAACAAGTACAAAAGTATCTTTGTATTATACAAAGATAACACAGAAAATGTTGGTATGGACTTTCCCCCTTTTTCCTGCCAGTGTGAGAACTGGGATGGGCTAGTTTGCTCTCTTGGTTGGTGTATTAACTCTTTATGCAGAACATGCAGCAGACAGGCCTATTGCTAAGGCCCCAGAACCTTCCAGGGTTCTCTCACTCTCAAGAAGACACATGACTGATTCACTTGTTCCACACCTTCTCACAACTACTCACAACCGGCTTGTAAATGGGTCGTAGGCCCATGGTCGTAGGTCTGCTCTGCCCAGGGGCGAAGGGCAGACAAGGTTTTATAGCCTCTCATGGGAAGGTGGGAGATAAAAATTCTGGGAACGTGTGATTACAGCCCCTGCGATGATGAACAGGGCTTAAAGGATACATGAATGTGAAAACATAGAGATAGAACCAAATTGTTTTGAGAGGAAGGTCTTAGTTAAGTGAATTTTATTATATATTTATCGTTCCATTTTCATAGTTTGAAAGTTAAGTAACTCTATAAAGGGATTCATAAAAGCTCAGTTCCACATAATGAAGATGTTTCAGCACTCACCTTTTCCCTTCCGCTGTCAGCAGGTTTTTCAAGTATTCATATGTGAGGAAGTACAGGCCGTTTGAAGGCACATCTGCACATACAAAGGAAGTTCTGTGCATCAGCAAACGTTATAGCAGGGGCCTCAAACATGCGGCCTGCGAACCAATAAAAAAAAAGTATTTTGTGACACCCAAGTGGACATCAAAGGTGTATCATCCGTTCTTTTAAATAAATAAATAAATAAATATCTAAATAAAACCAACATTGAAAAAACAAAAAACGAGGGATGTTTTGTTTGAGAATCAAAAACATCGCTTGTTATTCGTTTTTTCAATGTTGGTTTTATTTAGAAAATCAAAAAAACGGATGATACACGGATTATACACCGACCATCAAAGTTTAATGTCAGTGCGAGTATTAATCTGGCTTTAACGCAATAAGTAATAACTCAAAGTAGTCATTAACCATTAACCAGGACAGCAGTCTACAGTACTGAGCCTCATTGCCTTGATCCAATGTTGTTTCAATCCAATCTGCTATACTCAAATTTTTCATAGAAATATATGATGTATATTCTAAGGCTGTCAAACGATTACGTTTTTTAATCGAGTTAATTACAGCTTAAAAATTAATTAATCGTAATTAATCGCATTTTGAACTATGGGCAAAATTATGCCGTATTTTTCTGTAAATGGTGGTTTGAATGGAATGATAAAGGACATTCTGTACATATGTACTGTATTTGTTTATTATAACGACAATAAATCCACATAACATTCTGTCTTTCTGTAGTCACTCAGACCAAAACTATTGTTTGTTACAGATGAGGGACATTTCAAAACAGTCTGAAATGCAGAATGTCATTAAATCTGTTTGATTTGCTCACACCATTTTACTTTTGGGTACAACCAACATGAACTGGTAGTGCAAGGGAAATTAGGTACCCCAGCTTTAATTTAGAGAGTTTAGTGGCGGTTCGGGAGGAGACACGGACACTTCCTTAGGTCCAGCTTCACAACATGCAGAGAATAGTTCTGTGCGTGTATGGTCTTGGATATGATCATGTTACGGTGGCGCTGTGCGCCGTGTTGTGTTGTTGTTGGCTCACAGCCGCTGGAGATGGGAACCACTGTCCAGAGCAGCCACAGCTGCCCCGGTCAGAATGCTGCGGCCACAGAGGATGCGTACTCCCGTTCGAGTTCATAGCAAATAACAGCAAGTGCACCCGGGGTCACGCACGTATTCCTTTTAGTGCCCAGAGTCAGAACTAAACATGGGGAGGCTGCTTTTCAGATTCATGCTGCTAAAATCTGGAACAATCTTCCTGAAGATGTGAGACAGGCCTCCTCTCTGACTATGTTTAAAACCAGGTTAAAAACGGTCCTGTTTAGCTGTGCATACAACTGAGGGATTTTATGTTTTTCAATGTTTATCAATCCAGAAGCTGAACTGTGTGTGCAAAGTAAAATAGTGTGTGCAGTTTTAGTGTTTAATTCTGTATGGGCAAGTGTATAGATTCATTTGCTCTGATGTTCACAAATGTTTCACACGGACACACACGATGGGTTCATACTTAATGTGGCCCACCAGCTAAATTGACTTTGAGCTCTAAAGCAGGGTGCTCTAAAGCAGGGTTAAAACATTTGGTCATTAACTTGTGATCCTATGGAGCAATTACGCTTGGGTACTGCCATTAATTGATTGATTTGTCTAATCTGTAATTGATTTATTGACAACTATTTGACAACCTTAGACAACTGCTGTTGTGTTTATGTAAAAATAAAAAATGAAATACATATTGATGCTACTTTCACCAACATGATTATGGCCTATTGACTTTACATAAATAAGTGAAAGAAAAGCATGTGGAGGAGTGCATGGGGCTGTGTTGCAGCGCACTCTACAACTTCACACTTCTACCACTAGAGAGAGTACATTATTTCCATTTATTTTCTACTTAAAATATTTTGTATTATATGCCAGAGTAAATATCGTCCTAATCATAGCATATTTGTAATATATGTTTTTTTCAATGAAAAACGATTTGATGATTGCGCCTGTTCCAGTTGTGACTCCGATTATGTTAGATTCTCGTCTGTGCGTACCTCTGATGAGTGTAAGGACAGTCCCCTTATAAACACTGCGCAGGCCGTGTTCTTTGTACAGTCTGACAGCACAGTCCAGGGGCCCTGAGTAGCGCACCTCTCCGCTGCTCGCCTGCACCTGTGAACAAGACTGAATAATAAGTGTGTGAATAGAACAATTGAGAATGTTTAATTTTCTGTTTCATGTTACAGATTGTGAAATAGTTTAAAGAAAACATTTGTAACCTTTTTGAGCTTTCAATCATGTTCCAACATTGTTCCTCATCAGTCACATTCACACTAATATCAGGAGCTTTTGGCACAAACATGTAACTCCGCCTTTTATGTCTAAAAGCTCAACCATCTATTTTCTTCCCTTTGTCCATTTCTGGGTCGGAGGTGGCAATCAGCTGCCACCCAATTCACAGAGCACCAGCCTCTCACTGATCCTCATGCAGGTGGTGAGGTAGAAGCTCAACCAAAAACCATAAATGCATTAAGAATATTATTTTCCTTATCGATGACCCAGAAGCCAGTGTTCTGGCAATAACAATGTTGCAGCGTGCATATAGGACAGTAGAAAGTGCACACAAAAAATACAGAAATATGAAGCTGTCAATGCTTCTTAACAAGCTGTAAATATAGGGTAAAAATATGAGGAGGATCTGAATTGGGCTGTAACGTCAAGGAACAGTGAGGAAAGGGATCACCTTTATTAGCCCTTTTAGCATAGGGAGACACTAACTTGGAGACATAAATCAATACGGAGATATGGCACTACCCACAATGCCCCACATGCTCCCACTGATGTCTGCTGTCGTTGTGTCCTTGGGCAAGACACTTAACCCCACTTTGCCTGAAGCCCCTGCTGAAATACCAAGGCTGTGTCTTCAATGACAGAGAAGCCATCATCTTGTGGACCCACCACCTGCAGAGGGACTGGTGCATTGGGTGACTGATTGGCTACCCCCCTTCAATTGTACTGAGCTGCCACAGAACAATTGAAGGCACACAGTTGTAAATAACATAATGTGGAGAAACCACTTTTGAATACATTACATTTGGTAAAATGATTAAGAGAATTGCCCTTTCATTTCAGAAGTTACTGATGGACAGAACTAAAAACAACTGCATTCAGACATCCATACATCCAGATATTCTGTACTTTATTTAAAAAAAAAAAACACTTCACATTCTAAAACATGAACTGCCAATGTATATATTTAAGATCCTGTTCAAGGGAACAACATGATAATGTCTGTGAAGTGAAACGTACCTGAAGTAAACATTTGATTCTTTCTCCTGGAGCCACAATGACAGTGGTGAAGACTCCGGCCAAACACCCGGAGAGGAAGAGCTGAGAGTGACTGAGGAGCAGAGCACAAGTCCTCTTTAGTTAATTTATAAATATTAAAGTAAAGGTGCACTTTATTTATCCCCGTAGAGCAATTCATCCTCTGCATTTGATCCATCCTGATGCCACTAGTGTGTCTATCAGGAGCCGTAGTACAGCACCCGGAATCCATCTCCTGATGTTGATGCTCGGTTTGGTCAGGACTACCGGAGCTGGAGGATTGTTACCTATAGTGCATGTTTTTGTGGTCGGGCAGACACAGGGAGAACATGCAAACTCCACTCAGAAAGATCCTATTACGACTGGGATTCAAACCAAGGACCTTCTTGCTGAGAAGCGAGAGTGCTGTCCACTCAGCCACCATGCCGTACAGAAAATGTTGATTATAAACAACATTGCATCATGTTATGTAATGCATATTTTAATAGCAACCCACAGGCCTGAGCACAGTTAAGGGATAGTCACTAAAATACCAACATTTTGTCAAGTATTGAACATTTATGTCTCCTAACAAAGATCCACAATAGATCGATCAATATGAGTCTTTTGTGATTGATACCGATGCCTAATGCACTAGTTAGCAGATAGGACATTATAGGTTTTTACATAATGCCAGTGGATGAACCGTGCATTTCAGACCTGCGCCTGCAGTGATGTCCTAAGCCAGCAATCTCCAACCTGTGTTAAAATGACAGGAGGCACATCGCTGTGGTTTGCACACACACGCCTGACGCACTCATGCACAATGCGTAACTTTCTCTCACTCTGACAGTATCTGAGAACATGACCGAGTACAATACAAGTGTTCAGGACCCAGGGCCCAGAGGCAGATTCTGGGCCATAGCAACAAATGACGCTGCATGAGCAATGATTGGATAAAAACTCTGTTAGACGCCAGACCTCCCAAATGTCGACCTGAAGCTGGAACTGTGCAACCAACGAAGTTTGTGAAAAAATAAACATAGAAAACAAAGAATAAAATTAAGAAAAAATATATAGGTATGTAATCACATTTAGGCCAGCAGAGAAGGCCTTGCTGGCCATGAGGGTCCGCCACTGCATAATGCCATTATGGATATTGATGAAATGGGTTAATTCCAGGAAAACAGGAACACTAACATTTTCAGTTTAGTAATAATTACATATAGTTTATTAATATTACTAATAATAGCCTTCAGACTTCATTGTTTAGAGTGAAATAAATGATGGTATAGCTTAGGTAAAACAATGCATTATTATTATTATTATTATTATTATTTCAAAAACTTAAACATTCTGATTGTAAACATTGGGGTTACTGGAGACTCGAGTTGGGGGAGTGGAGGGGGAGTGTGGCTGTGAATAAACCAATGAACTCCAAGGGGCTGTCGTTATGCAAGAGTAGAGCTCAGATGTCCTGCTTCTAGAACAGACTGTAAGCACAACACTAACAAATGCCATGAGGGTTTGATTATGACGTAAAAGAATGAAAGACAGATGTTAAGCATACAACATTGTTGCTCATCACAAACAGACCTGGTGTTTGTTTTGCAAGCTAATATCACGATCTTCTGGCAAAAACATATTTCTATGACATATAGAAATAGACAATGACTCTCTCTGTCGTGTAACACTCTACAGTAGGTCCCATTCCGTTTTGTCGTCTTCATTCACGCTTCTCGGGAATCACGCAGCTGCGTGAAAAATAGTACATCTTATCGCCACAAGGTGGCAGGCTAAGTCCGCTTTAGCTCTGCCAGCGACTTAGACGCTCAGGTATAAGACTGCGTGCAAACCTGTGTAACTCCAGAGGTGCTATGTTAGCCGAATGGTTAGCATTAAATACAAGGACCTGGAGAACCCAGGTTCGATTCTTGTCTGAGGCACATCTTTTGGTTGCTTGTGGCAAAATTGTTTTTTCATTAAACAATTATTATATAACATCTTGTCTTTAATGTCTGAAAAAATCTAGGTGAAATTCACTAGTGTTATACGTTAAATATTGTGATATGTTTTGATAAACCGAACGTTACGTTACATCCTCCGCTCTGGCCCCGAGAGCAGCTGCTGTGACCCCCGCTCTGACAGCTCAGTGAACGCACTGCCGTCTGGGCTCCGAGCGCGGACCATAGACACGCGGACTCACGTCTCTCTCTCTCTGCTCGCGTCTCTCTCTCTCTGCTCGCGTCTCTCTCTCTCTGCTCACCTCTCTCTCTCTCTCTGCTCGCGTCTCTCTCTCTCTGCTCACCTCTCTCTCTCTCTGCTCACGCCTCTCTCTCTCTGCTCACGTCTCTCTCTTTCTGCTCACGTCTCTCTCTCTCTGCTCACGTCTCTCTCTGCTCACGTCTCTCTCTGCTCACCTCTCTCTCTCTCTCTCTGCTCACCTCTCTCTCTCTCTCTCTGCTCACGCCTCTCTCTCTCTGCTCGCGTCTCTCTCTTTCTGCTCACGTCTCTCTCTCTCTGCTCACGTCTCTCTCTGCTCACGTCTCTCTCTCTCTCTCTCTGCTCACGTCTCTCTCTGCTCGCGTCTCTCTCTCTGCTCGCATCTCTCTCTCTGCTCGCGTCTATCTCTCTCTGCTCACGTCTCTCTCTGCTCACCTCTCTCTCTCTCTCTCTGCTCACGTCTCTCTCTCTCTGCTCACGTCTCTCTCTCTCTCTGCTCACGTCTCTCTCTCTCTGCTCACGTCTCTCTCTCTCTGCTCACGTCTCTCTCTGCTCACGTCTCTCTCTGCTCTCTCTCTCTGCTCACGTCTCTCTCTCTCTCTGCTCACGTCTCTCTCTGCTCGCGTCTCCTCTCTCTCTGCTCACGTCTCTCTCTGCTCTCTCTCTCTGCTCGCGTCTCTCTCTCTCTGCTCACGTCTCTCTCTGCTCGCGTCTCTCTCTCTCTGCTCACGTCTCTCTCTGCTCTCTCTCTGCTCGCGTCTCTCTCTCTCTGCTCACGTCTCTCTCTGCTCACCTCTCTCTCTCTCTCTCTGCTCACGCCTCTCTCTCTGCTCACGTCTCTCTCTGCTCACGTCTCTCTCTGCTCACGTCTCTCTCTGCTCACTTCTCTCTCTCTCTGCTCACGCCTCTCTCTCTCTGCTCACGTCTCTCTCTGCTCACGTCTCTCTCTCTCTGCTCACGTCTCTCTCTGCTCGCGTCTCTCTCTCTCTGCTCACGTCTCTCTCTGCTCTCTCTCTCTGCTCACGTCTCTCTCTCTCTCTGCTCGCGTCTCTCTCTCTCTGCTCGCGTCTCTCTCTCTCTGCTCACCTCTCTCTCTCTCTCTCTGCTCACGTCTCTCTCTCTCTGCTCACGTCTCTCTCTCTCTGCTCACGTCTCTCTCTGCTCGCGTCTCTCTCTCTCTGCTCTCTCTCTCTGCTCGCGTCTCTCTCTCTCTGCTCACGTCTCTCTCTCTCTCTGCTCGCGTCTCTCTCTCTGCTCGCGTCTCTCTCTCTCTGCTCACGTCTCTCTCTGCTCACCTCTCTCTCTCTCTCTCTGCTCACGTCTCTCTCTCTCTGCTCACGTCTCTCTCTCTCTGCTCACGTCTCTCTCCCTCTGCTCACGTCTCTCTCTCTCTGCTCGCGTCTCTCTCTCTCTGCTCACCTCTCTCTCTCTCTCTCTGCTCACTCTCTCTCTCTCTCTCTGCTCGCGTGTCTCTCTCTCTGCTCACGTCTCTCTCTGCTCACGTCTCTCTCTCTCTGCTCACGTCTCTCTCTGCTCGCGTCTCTCTCTCTCTGCTCACGTCTCTCTCTGCTCGCGTCTCTCTCTCTCTGCTCACGTCTCTCTCTGCTCTCTCTCTCTGCTCACGTCTCTCTCTCTCTGCTCACGTCTCTCTCTGCTCACGTCTCTCTCTCTCTGCTCACGTCTCTCTCTGCTCACGTCTCTCTCTGCTCACGTCTCTCTCTCTCTGCTCACGTCTCTCTCTGCTCTCTCTCTCTGCTCACGTCTCTCTCTCTCTGCTCACGTCTCTCTCTGCTCACGTCTCTCTCTGCTCACGTCTCTCTCTCTCTGCTCACGTCTCTCTCTCTCATGTCTCTCTCTCTCTGCTCACGTCTCTCTCTGCTCGCGTCTCTCTCTCTCTGCTCACGTCTCTCTCTGCTCGCGTCTCTCTCTCTCTGCTCACGTCTCTCTCTGCTCTCTCTCTCTGCTCACGTCTCTCTCTCTCTGCTCACGTCTCTCGCACCTGTTCTTCTTAAAGATGTTGTTTGATGCGGAGCAGAGAGTCAGCAACTAGATTGGTTGTGAGATTATTAAAAGAAGCTAGTTCTCTCATCTTTACAGCATGGGAAGTTTGTGAATGTTATTGCATCGGTGATTAAATGCTATTTTATTTTAATAATGATAGTAAATCTGACATTTAAAGTCAGTGCCTCCCCAATCACAATCCTCACCGCACGTCACTGTCTGTCTGCTATATGCATCTGATCATTTGATGTTGCCTCAACCTACACTTGTTTTAGTTTAAATGTGTAGGCTAGCTGTTTTTCAGTCTTTGAAATGTTGATGTGGCCATTTTATGGCTATTGAGAATGAGGAGTCACGTGCCGAGTTGGGGTGATTTGGGGGGGGCTCTGAGCCTGTCGGACATATTGGCTGCGCAACGGGGGCACGCCCCCAGAATTTCACGCGCTCCTCATATTCCAGAGCACTTTAAATTATACGCATGTTTACATGCTGGAAACAGTACTTTGAATGCACACGTTGTTTTGCAGTGTTTTGTGTCCCTTTGCACTAAGAAAAGTATGACTCTTATTATCATTTTTACCTATGTTGGGCATGTTTACATGCTGGAAACAGTACTTTGACTGCACACGTTTGTAACAAAAAAAATATTCATTTCTCAATAAATATTGGTAAACCATATCAAGTTGTTTCATGCATTTATTTAAAAATAAAAGATACAGTAAAGAATAAGGTACTCAAACAACACTTTTGCACATGTTCGTTAAGGCACAGCAAACAATGACAATCTTATCCAAAGGCATTAGGTTTTCACCCTCACATTTGACAAGCATGTGCACAGGTACAGTTGAGTGTAAGAATTTGAATTTGTTG